AATAGTGAGTACAATACCCAATTCTGCAACCACCGACCGTCAACGACAGTCAAGTTTTTCCTAGCCACGATGCCGGCGCTACTAGTAGTGACCTCAATCAACGTCGAGGGATACACTAGAACGAAGGCTGATGTGCTAGCGGCTAGTTGCAATGGAAGCGACATCGTCTGCATGCAGGAAACCCCCCTGGGGCCGACGAGCAACCGGCCAATACTACCAGGAATGAAACTGGTAGCTGAGATCCGTCATCCCAAGTACGGATCAGCAATTTTTGTGAAGCCCCTGCTGGACGTCAGGGACTTCCATACCAACAGCTCAGATACCAACATAGAGACTGTTACGATATGCCTGCCAGAGATCTCCATTACCTCGCTCTATAAACCACCTGCCAGCCCCTTTGCATGGCCTGAACTACCACCTAAATGCAGGAAGAAGCATGCCGTTGTAATTGGGGACTTTAATTCCCACCACACAATGTGGGGATACGACTCAACCAACAGTGATGGTGAACTAGTTGAAAGTTGGATGGAAAACACAGGCTTGCAGCTGGAGCTTATTCACAACTCTAAACTCCCCAAGTCCTTCAACAGCTGCCGCTGGAGAAGAGGCTACAACCCTGACCTGTGCTTCGTCAGCCAGAGACTAGCACATCTGACTGAGAAAACGGTGCTTAAACCGCTTCCCAAGTCACAACATCGACCAATCTCAGTCACGATCAAGCCTGCCATCACGAAGACGGAAGTACCCTTTCGACGCCGCTTCAACCTCATGAAGGCCAAATGGGATGAATATAGCGAAGGAATGGAAAACGCTTTAACAGACATTGAACCCACACCTGACAACTACACCATGTTTGTTCAGGCTGTAAAGAAGACTGCTTGCGCACATATCCCACGCGGATGCCGAAAAGAATACATCGCAGGCCTTACAGAGGAGTCATCACAGCTGCTGGCGCGCTATGAACTGGAGTTCGAAAAAGACCCCTTTTCCGACGCCGCCAGTGAACTGAGTGACACACTCATGGAATCCCTAGGGAAGGAGAGGCGGGAAGCCTGGCAAACACTTGTAGAGAACATCAACATGACTCGAAACAGCAAAAAAGCCTGGGCTACTATCCGGAAACTAAACGGTGATAAGATCACACCACCCGTTATATCCGACGTAACACCAAACCAGGTTGGGAGCCAACTGGTGGCCAACGGGAGAAGAGCAGAAAGGCGCAGGGCTAAAGGACAACATCTTCTCACCACCATCCCGGGCAGTCAGCAGAACATGTCCATTCTAACCAAGCCCTTCACCTTTGAGGAGTTTGAAGATGGACTAAGCACCATGAAGCTGGGCAAAGCTGCAGGTCCCGACGACATACTGACAGAGATGATCACTCACCTTGGCCCAGCTGCCAAACAATGGCTCATGGACATGTACAACACCTGCCTCCAAACCCAGCACATACCAACAATCTGGAGGAAAGCCATCACCATTGCTCTTCAAAAACCTGGGAAAGACCCCAACTGCCCCAAAAGCTACCGGCCCATCTCCCTACTCTGTATCACCTACAAGCTGTTCGAGAGACTACTCCTTGCCCGACTATCCTCCCAGATAGACACTGAGCTGATAAAAGAACAAGCCGGATTCAGAGCCGGGAAGTCATGCTCAGGCCAACTGCTAAACCTCACCCAATACATCGAGGACGGCTACCAGAAGAAGCTGATAACAGGCGCTGCCTTCGTAGACCTGTCGGCAGCTTATGATACCGTCCAACACAGGCTGCTGATCAAAAAACTTTTCGACCTGACAGCAGCTGCCAAACTGTGCAATATAATAAGATGTCTTCTGAGCAACCGGATGTTCCATGTCACACTCAACAATAAAAAAAGCAGATGGTTCCACCAAAACAACGGGCTGCCGCAGGGCAGTGTCCTGGCACCCCTCCTCTTCAATGTTTATACCAACGACCAACCCCTACCAGAAGGATGCAGCAGGTTCATCTATGCAGACGACCTAGCCATTACAACGCAACAGCATACCTTCCCAGAAGTTGAGTCAACCCTGGAACGAGGACTCTCAGATATGTCTGCATACTATCTGGAAAACCACCTGCGTCCAAACCCTGGGAAGACCCAAATCTGCAGCTTCCATCTCAAAAACAGGGAGGCTAAACGGGAGCTCAATGTAACTTGGGACGGAATAGGGCTCGAAAACCACCAACACCCAGTCTACCTGGGCGTAACCCTAGACCGTACCCTCAGCTACAAGGAGCACATCAAGAACACAAGAGCTAAGGTGTCAACCAGGAACAGCCTTCTGCGACAACTGACCAATTCAAAGTGGGGAGCTCACCCAAGCACATTGCGCACGACAGCACTAGCCCTGTGCTATTCCACCGCCGAATATGCCTGCCCAGCATGGTACAATTCAAGTCACGCGCACAAAATAGACCCAATCCTCAATGAGACCTGCAGGATAGTGACTGGGTGCATCAAAACAACCCCCACCCCCTGCCTCTATGCCCTCTCTGGCATCTCTCCCCCTGACATCCGTAGAGCAGTCATCGCTAAAGCAGAGCGCACAAAGCAGGCCAACGACAACCGGCACCTACTTCATGAACACTATGCCCCCCAGAAACGGCTCAAGTCCAGGAGCAGCTTCTTAGATACCACTGCATTACTGGAGACCACACCATCTGCTGCCAGGATCACTGAGTGGCACAAGCAGTGGAATAGCCTGGGAAGCCAGACAACACAATGGACAGAGAGAGGCATCACCCCAGATGAATGTCTCGCTACTGGTCATGACCAACCTTGGGCTGTCTGGAAGACACTGAACCGTCTGCGGGTCGGCGAAGGACGATGCAAGGCATCCATGAAAAAATGGAAATTAGCAACTTCCGATGCTTGTGTGTGTGGTGAACCACAAACAATGGAACACATCATGAGATGTAGAACTGCTCCAAAATGTACTGGACATGACCTGGCCGAGCCAAATGCTGCTGCACTCGCCTGCGCCACCCACTGGAAGGACGTGATATAGAAGATGGCCGGACACGAGGAAGAAGAAGTACAATACCAAAACAGGCACCAAATGAACAGTAAATACATACCTCAAAATGGAGACCAAATAAAAAATCAAATCAAATCAAAATGATTGATACTCGAAACAATACAGAATCATGCAGACAAATACCTTATAATAAAAAATAATTTTTAAACGTTTTCTGATTAGTTATCATGCCCTGGACCTCCCAACAGCTGATAATTAGATTTTAAAAAAGAAAAAAAAAGAACATGCTTAACGCTCACTTCGTCACTGTCCACAGATGAGAATTATCTACAATTGTAACGCCCAGCGAGCCCATTTCAGGCACAAATCCAATCTATACCAGGGGTCACCAACAAGGTGGCCGCAGGCACCGGGTAGCCCGTAAGTACCAAAGGAGTAGTCCACCAGTTGTGATTTGCTCATAGAGAGTATGATTTAAAAATGCAAACACCTGCAGTATTGTGAGATATCTTTAATGTGATCAGTCTGAAAATTAAAATCAAGTATTGAAAATAACACATTCGTTCTTTCAGACGTGTATCAATTTGGTAGCACTTCACACAATCAGTACACATGAAGTAGCTCTCACCCTCAAAAAGGTTAGTGACCCTTATTCAAAACACGCTTCAAATGAGTCCCCCGGATGTTTTGTTTGTCCAGTTTTTGCACCCTCTGGTGGTTAGTTGTGTGAAAGCCTACCGCACGTTATTCTCGAGAGAAAATGGTCCTAATACAAAATTAGTATTTTAGGTTTGAAATATTTTTGAACCAGATTCTCGACTTCACTCGGCATGTCCTTTCAAACAGAATTGTATAAAGCAAGTTATTTGAAGCAGTTTATATAAAGCATCTACATTACTACAGTACTACTGTTTCTTGCGTCAAATAGGACTACCTCTGCCGGCTATCCTCTGTGGCATGGTTTCCTCAGACAACACAGTGCCCCCTCAAAGAAAAATCTGCGCAAGGTACAACAACTCAGCCTCGCTTCATGCTTCGTGCCGGCTGCCTGTGATAAATCTGTCTGCAGTGATACTGTGTAACGTGTAGGAATTGTTTCAGGAAATATGTTAATTTGTGTGCCCTAACATCTATTCATTTTATATTGTATTAACTCTGTAAAACAGGTGATAGCTGTCATGATGGGTTTGCATGCGTGTGTATTTGCATGTCACATTTTGAGTGTTGGCGTTCTTTACATGCATTGACCCTTTTGCCGTGTAGCGATTGCGTCACTGTCACTGAAAGTGGTACAATTCTGCGTTTCAAAATAAGAGCACCTGGCAGAAGAACTGTGACAGGGAAAAGTAACTGCAGATGAACATCTATTCTAATGAATGTGGTGAATAACCGAAATCTCTAATCAAACGCAAAAAAAAAAAAAAAAAAAAAAATCACCAGTACACGACCCAGTGAATCTAGGGCTGTGGGGCCCCCGGGCAGTCTGCTTCATATTTTAGGAAGTCTGCCACACTAACATGCCCTTTTTACTTTTTAATAAAGTGCATTCACTTTGTTCTCAATCTCACCCACTTGTAACTACTCCAATAATTCAATGCTAAATTAAGTGAATACTGTAGTTGTACAATCCTAAGGCACCTTCAAAAGAGCTCAATTTTTTAAAAAAATGTGAAAATGAACAACTCAGGAGATCGTAAGAGCAGCTCCTCCGCGTAATTAGAAATGAAGCATGCAGACATCATCATCTCCATGGGATATCTACCACAGGTGGTGCTGAAGGCTGTGACACCTTTCCAACATTCTGCCAGCATCTCACCCATTTTTCTCAACATAGCCCAAATGCGGACAGAATGATGCTTGTGAAGTGGGAACCAGCAAAAGACAACAGATACTATAATTTGGCAAGTTTGTTTTTCATTTAACACAATGGCACGATTGTCTATTGAAACCAGATGGATTAGAATAGCTCACAAAGAAATAACTTTATATAAGATTTGAAATGTATTTAAACATGCAATTTATTTACAGTATAGTGATGGTCAGTTTCTATGCCATTGTAGGTATGAGAATCAATTACCCAACAATTCCTCTAGAGGGAGCCACAACCCATTTGGTAATTGGGACGTTTTTAAACCCCTCAAAACGGACCAGTTTTGCATTTTATGACGTTTATTATTCAATCGTGGAGAAACTTAACATTTCCAGAGAAATATAGTAATCACTTGTATTAGTTGTCATACAGTAATCCAACAGTTACAGTAATGAACAGTTTCAATAACCCGGGCCCAACACAAAGTGCAAGATCATTCAAGTGCATGCGTTTATCTCCGTCCTAGTTGCTTCTTGAACGCCTTTAAGGACTTTGCCATCATTGGCGCCACCCCTGTGTTGACAAACATGACCCAAAAAATTATGCAAGCTATAATAAAATGGGCACAGTCACCTGTATAGCCTACAATAAAAAAAGACCTTTATCTGTACAGACCGACAATGGAATTAAATCATGCTGCTCCTTTTAAGAAGCTGCAACAAATCTACAAATCTGCATCAAAAGCACTCAAGTGAGCTCACGTGTTTTCTTGCGAGGTTCTTGTGTGCTGCTTGGCCCTGAGGTCGTGCTGCTGTTTTTTGCGGGTTCATTGCTCAGCCATTTGCTCTCCTGGGACTTGACGCTGTATATAGGACAAGTAAAAGTTTGCAGAACTCTATCCATTCAAGATGTGTCACCTTCACTATCGCATGACCGACGGCTCACATTGCAAAGTAAGCCTGATAGCATACTTGTCCAAGTCAGATTACATTCTCAGAAACCGAGGGGGGGAAAAAAATTGCAAGCACATTGGTACTTTTTATTGCTTTGGTAACAGTGAATTAATAACGATTCATCAGGTTTTTGTGCTGTAAAATTACATCAAAACAGATCATTTCTAAACATTTTCTTCTGTTAAAGTGACCTATAACCCGAACAACACAAAAAAATAAATAAATCTTTCTCAGATGAAATAGAAAACCTCACCTGTGTTTGCGCAAGTATTGTGGCTGGAAATCTAGCTACGTTCAAAATTAACCAAAATTATTCAAACTCATTAAATCAGAGTCAGGACACACCTACCACCGTTTAAAGACCTCTGATTAACTGCAAATAACAAGTTAGGTGTTCTCATAGGCTTTTTCTTGTAGTTGCATCTTAAAAACCAAGCCATTATTCGCATCAAGGCATTAAAAATACCATGGAACACATTAAGTCGAGAAAATACAGCACATCTACACATATTACCAAGAACCGATGTCACTCCAGAATTTACGTCAGATTCAATTAGCATTATTTAATGTATTCAGAACCGAAACAATTCAATGATTTATAGACCAGTAGCAGAACAATCTATTCAACAGCTGACTGGGAGCTATTGTAAAGCCTTTACAATTAAGAGTAATATATTCTGATCTCTTTGTTTTGGTCAGAACCCAAGATGCAGCACTCTCAATGAGCTACAGCTGTTTGATAGTCTTTTGAGGGAGTCGAAGTTAGAAGACCCTGACAATAAACAAGTTTACTGGAGATCAAAGCATTTAAGTGTAGGACCCTTAAATGAGGTGTCTTAAGAGATGGCATTCCTGCTGGTGTCACAAATGTATTGGGAGAGTCGACACGTACCTGTTCCTGGGTTGCTGAGGTTGCTGAACCGCAGTGCCATGGATTTCTTGTTGAATACGCACGTCTCTCGGTGGCTTAGCAACAGTGTGAATAAATGCCATCTTCACTTGCCGGCCTAAACGGAGATGAGTGTAAACTAGGTCAAGAAAAATAAACAACAGTTGCCTCAAATTTTATTAGTATAAATGGGTGTATATATTGACACAAGAGGTAAGAGTCACATGTGAAGTTGGAGAGTTGTGGTTGAATGATTTGAATTATTTGTCTGTAGGTTGTTTGTTCTAAGAGTTCAAGTGAGAAAACTCAAAATGACATCTGACATGTGCATGAATTGTTTTTTTTTTTTTTTTAGTAAAGATATCTAAACAATATAATATGGACAAATTGTAAAAACACCTGGCCTTTACACCTTCAGGAAGTGGAGAACAGAAGAAACATGAAGGCACAATCAAATTGGAACAAGAAAGTTTCCACTTGCTCAACTGCTTCCCAAAGGTGGAAGCATAGATTTTCTTCCATACTATAAAATGGTAGTATTTTTCCATTTCCTCTTCAACATTTGACCCCGTTTATTTGGGAAATTTTGTGCACACCTTTGGGCTTCTTGGAATGATCCAAAACGATTTTTTTGGCCAGCGTCTGGAATTTTCTTTCCCTCTCCTCGGACACTCTGATGTACATTTCCTTCCATGACTCGTACTGCTGAAGTTTGGCATCCTTGAAGTCCCTCTGGCAGTGTTTCCCCCACAGGTGGTCTGTCACTCCGATGTACACCTGAAGACACGAACAATCAAGACAAAACAAAAGAGTAAATTGACATATATTATCACAAAGCAAAAACAAGATAGTCTACAACACCGAGTCAAATTCCACAATCAGATTCGAATGTAGAAATATACTGGATCAGATCATACCTGTATATGACTCAATCACTGTGTAGTGAGGAAAATCAGGAAGCCTGTTCAGCGACTGCCTCTAGCTGGCCCCATTAAATGCAACTCACTGATTGAGGTCAGGATGTCAAGCTATTCAACCAAAATGACTAAGACATTGTGGCTTCTGCTTCCTCTTGTGCAACACAGTAATAAAAGACTGGGCAGGCGTGGAATTTATGTCGACTACATATTTGTGTCAGTTTGATGACCCTTGACTATTTTTTTTTAAGCATTATTTTACATGCCTGATAAAACCATAAAATAGTCTTTGGCAGGTGCATCTGGTGATAAGATCTGTTCTAAATTCATTCCTACCGGATTGCACTCCTCAATACGTAGCAACTGCTCCGGGGTACACCTCTCCAAAACCGGCTCAAGGATTTCAAACGGGACTCCGCCGGTTTCATAAAGCACTGACAAAAAGAGAATGGTACACGAAGCAACAGAACCTCAAAACATCTTTAAAAAAAAAAAAATTTTAAAAAAAGAGAAATAAAACAAAAAAAACAAAAAGATTGCTCGGCCTCATTCACAGTTAATATTGTTCTGCAGCGTGCGGATACACTGCTGGTACAAGCTCATCATAGCAGGGAGGAAGACCGTCTTGGCGCCCGAGTAGACCTGCATTTTTTTATTTAGCCGATGGCCTGTGAAGAATGTGGAGTCCTCAGATAGGTCCCCGAAATCAGGCTCCTTCTCAACTTAAACAAAAACCAAACATAACAAAAAAAGTTTAAGTTGTATATTAGTTAGTGAGAATGCATATGTTGATCGGACAAACTGTACCTTTCTTCTCAAGGTATTCAAAACTGAATCCTTTGTCACATTCAGCCAGAAGGTCGGGTAATGGAATGTGAAGCGGGTCCTTTGGAGATTCCAGAAAAATCTAAAATCCAAGTTAATCACAGTTTAACCAGTCGTCCAGAAGTTCAGTGATCACCTTCGCCCGAGCACCTTTTTTGGAGAAACAGGCATCCTCGGGGACTTGGTGGGTTTTACGAGAGGCTGCTTCTTTATGACAGCATTGATGCGTTTGGAGGTTTTCTTTCCATTGGAGCGATTCTTCTTCTTCGTGGCTTTTTGGTCGTAGCTCAAGTACGATTCAAAAGACATGGATGGCTCCTCCAGTTCACTCTCACTATTTTCTTGCTGTGTTTTGACCTTTTTGTGTGAGAGTTTCAACAGCTCATCATGTGCAGACTCTTCTTTCTCTCGTTTCTTCCTTTTCCTATTTCGGTTGTCTGAGCTACTCGATGATCCCGACGATCTGTCCTGTTGAGCATTGTTCAAGTTAGGGGACTTTTCTGAGTGTTTGTCACGGGATGAGAAGGTTTCCTTCAAGTCTTGCGGGAGTTCCTTCGACAGCTTTGACTTCTTTTTTGACTTCTCTTTCTTTCTTTCCAAAGATGAGACCTCACAGTGTAAGCCACTTTTGTCTTTGGGTTGTACCTGACAGCCAGACCTGGATTTACAATGTCCATTTTTCCTGCGCTTAGAAACAGAATGATCACATTTGTCCTCGAGAACAGCATTTTTTAAACTCAAGATTCGATTTCCCAAACTCTTTGGGTCATCTTTTTTACTTGTTTTGGACTTGTCCTTTTTTCTTTTGGCATTTTTGTGTATTTCCTCAGCAGGACATATTTCAGTCAAATCTTCCAAACTCTTTCTAGCTGGTGTTAAGCAATTATTTTTTAAATCATCCACTTTATGGTCTTCATGTTTTGTGCTATTTCGGTCACAGATGATTCGCTCTTTGATGAACAAACTGTCCGATATGTCTCTGTCTTCTGTATGACTGCGTTTAGGAGATGAAAATGTTAAATGATTTGAAGGCTAAAAAAACAACAACAACAAAAGATGCGCACCTCGTTGACTTCTTGGGGATTAATTTCTTCCAACCTTTGACCAGTGACTTGGCCAATTCTCCAGCTTCTCTGTGCTTGCGAAAGGAATTCACAGTTCTCCCAATTCCAGTTTCCTGATTCAGAAAGAACACTCACAAGTGAATGGACGATGAAAACAAATTCACATCCAAATAGTCTCATTCGCCACTTACAGCAAGAACATCTACAGTGATGTCTAGATTGTTGAGCTTCTGCAAGATTTTGAGAACCTGAAATGAGATTTATCAAGACCTGAATCGTAATTTAAACAAACATCAAACACTGTGTTACTGAACACACATTTCCATGCCTTATTCTGACGCAAAAAGGAACAAAACCTGAAACACCAAACATGGCATTCTGGGGTGCCACAGTTGCTAATTATGCATTCGAAGCTGAAGCTATGTATAGGAACCTTTCCCGCCCCCTTACTCGTTTTACTCCCAGCTATAAATGGACAAGCCCTCTACCCTTTGCTATCCATTTTATCCATTGACATAAAGTGTGTAGCTTTAAGCTAAAAGCATTTATAATCTCCTTCAAGGATATTTAAGTACAGTTTAATACAATCTATTCTTCATGTACTTCCTTGTTAAAGAGGCCTCGAGATGTGCAGGTTGTCACAGCTGATAGAAATGATAAACAGTCGTAAATTTAACAACTGGCGGCGAAGCAATTTTTAGCCGCAAACCACCTCCCATTCACGTTGCCTGACATCACCACTAGTGAGGCATCCATATGCATGGCGATGACTCAACTCCTGACAATTCTTTATACTATATCATTTTACTGTACTTAGAAAATTGCTCTGTAACATTGGACGAAAGTACTTGTGTCCGGTATCATCAATCACTAGATCTAATTTTATTTCCATGACATTGGAGTACAATAAAACACAGTTAATAACCCCCAAAGTCTTGCATTCAAAAAAATTCATTTCCATTCAGATGGGTGATTGAGACAATGTTATCATTGTGTGTGGTCAAACGCATTTAAGGATGTCTGACTATTTATGACAATCATTTGATTTTATGAACCATTTGAGGAGGGGTTTTTTCCACAAAATTTAAATTTGAATCTAGATTTTCTTTTATTCTAGGTTAACATACCAATACAAAGTATAATAAGTAACTCTGCCAAATGGTTACTTGTACGACTATTTTCAATCAATTGCCTTAAAAAAGTGATAGAGTCTTGATCTTTTTACATTGTGTCTGGGTACATCAAAATCTAAGTAGAACAAAATTGTGCATGATACCACTTTCCAAATACTGCATGTATCATCAACATTCATTTGTAAAGGAGCTAGAGGCTAGTTGTATTGTTTCTTTTATGCCAAATAAATAGTAAAAGTCACCTTGTTTACGTTTTCTCCAGGTGTTATGGGACTAGTTTATTTTTAGAAACTGTGGCCATATTTAAAATTAAGAGTTTTCAATGAGCTGTCCTTCAATTTAAAATCAGTCATGTGTGATTGTTACTTCCGTTTTCATCACAGGTTTTTTTTCCTATACAATTTCTTAATGACTATTCTAGGATTCTTAATGTTTATAAAGTGCACACACAAACACACGCACATTTTTTAAAAACTGCTTATTATAAGTAACAATAAACTAACTTAACTGCTCTGTCGAGTAAAACGTAATGCCTGGTACAAGACAAAATACTGTCCTGTACTATTTTTCGAGTGATACACGAAGCAATTATTGTGCAACTTGATGACGTAGCCTCACTGAACTCTGTATTGATACAACTGAATAAATCAGTGGTGCATTTAATGTAGCCTATGTGTAGGAATAAAGGAAGAATAAAATGTTCGCTACCGTGGCAGACTGTGGCGTGTCTGATAGCTGAAGCTTGAAGCGCAAGACTCTCTTCACCACGTCCGAGGTTCCTGCCATCACTTGGCTGGCATGTATGAGCGTCCACGCGCACCTGACGCACGGGCGACTCTAATTATCAGCAACGGAAGTGATGGAGACGGCCACTTCAGTTTCCTGTGGTAAAGTCGATACAGTCGTGTGTGACGTCACGTATCGGAAAGCCGTTATTATGCTGTCATGGTAACAGTTGATGAACGTCGCATTTGGAATGTATTTTAGGAAATGTCACAGGATTGTTGTCAATATTCAAGAAAACAGACGACATACACTCGTCACAAAATGTTAGGGACACACAATAGAATAGAGTGCCTTTCCCCATGACGTCGCAGGTAGGCTACTTCAGGGTAGCAGCAGCTTTGATGAATTATTGTATCTCTGTACAACTATAAACGATACCCACTTGAGTTACCCACTTTACCAACTGGTTCTGATGAATAAATTTAGATTTTTATAAGGAAATCGGGGAAAACAATTAAATTGAAAGGGGAATTTCATTTTGGTTTAGTTTTCTGATCAGGGTCAGCAGTAGACATTCACTTTCTGCCACCAGGAAGTACCCCATGGTGCCTGTTGTTTACAAAGTTGATGAAAAAGGTGCATTAGCCTTTTGTGTAAAATTTCATGCTGAAACTAAAATTCACTATAAACTTACGTTAGCCTTCAACCACTGCTGTTCGGTGTTTCAGACTTTTTTTGCGCAGTTCAATGTTCTCCCACAAGGAGTTGAATGGTAAAATTCACAAATTTGATCCATAAATCAACTGATGTATTTCCAAGGACGTCAATGTCTTTTCTGACTCCTCAAGTCACATTCTGCATCTCTGTTGTTACTCGCTGATGACACTGCGGCAGTGTCCTAAATCCCTCTCTGTATATAGTGTGTTTCGTAGTGCTGTTTGACTATATAATGATTATTGGTTACCCCTACAGAGTGAATTCAGTATATCCAATGATGAATTGCGCCGATACAGAAAAAATTATTGGTTTCTGGGTATTTGATTTTTGACATAAAAAACAAATTCACGAGTCGTGGCACAAAAACACCTACACGCAAAGGAAAGGATGTAATCCGTTAATATTCAGGGGGGCGATGGAGTTGAAGTCCAACTACAATTGATTGACTACATTGATCATTAAGAGGAGTGTTTCAATACGTTTGTCCATTTAACGCGTGCCCTTACACCCAGTGCCAAAAATTAAAGGTCCTTTAAGACTCTGAATCTATCCTTTCTCATCCATCCTCCACTCTATGTATCAGTCACACACACAAATACGCTGATGCTTAAGAATGGAAAACTGCAAATCTAAACAGACAGATACTGTGGAGTTCAGACCCAAATTGTTGACATCAACTAATTGGAAATTATCTGTCAATGAGGCCTAACTAGAGGTCTGAGTTTTGGGGGTGGGAAGCTACTGTCTACCCCCTGCCACATGTATTTCACAATATGTGATTGGCACCCAGACCCTGAGAGGAGGAGTTAGCGAGGATTTCTCTTTCAGCGTGGGTGACTGCTGTCCTCTCTCTCCAGCTCCAGTAAGTGGAGGCACAAGTTCCTTTTTCCCCCCCAGCCTCAACTTCATTCTTCAGGTATTTGGGATTTATTTGCAAAGTCGTGCTATAATTGTAAAGTTCATGATGCTATGTTTGATGTTATAGCTTTAGGGGTGAAGGATTTTATTTGGGCTTTGGTGGTTGGACGCCATGCTTGAAGTTGTTCAACCGTTTTATACATTGTTATAGGGACATGCTGGGCACAGTAGGTGAATTGTGTGGAGAGTCATTGTGCTTTAAAGTTTTGTAAATTGTGCTGACGAGAAAGTCATTCAGTGCAAGTTACAACTAGCAGTTATAAAATATATTTTTGAATTCTAAATTGAACCAAAATAGTAAGAGAGCACAAGGCCTGCTTCTGGTGCCTCAAAGTCTATAAAAGGAACATCAGTGGAGAGCCCTTCCAGTGTGCTATTCCTGGCCAAACAGCTGATAAAGTGTGACAGATGCAATGAGGGCTAGCTGCTGCATCACCTGGCACAACACATGCTTCAAAGGTGTCAGTCTCTGCTTGTGCCTTAAGATAAATTTTTTCAAGGAAAAACTTTTAGATTTCAATGTATTCACTTCCATGAATGGTGCAGATAAATTATGCTAGTGATAAATCACTTTTGGTTAATGACTTTTAAAGCATAAAAGCATTTTTTTTGTCCAAATGTGACAAGTTATATTTATGTTTTCAAAAGGTCTGGGTTGTGCTCTGCCGCCTCAGCCATGGCCCCCAAAAAGAACAAGACGACCAAGAAGAATAAAGGAGACATCAATGAGATGACAATCATGGTTGAGGACAGCCCTGTCAACAAGATCAACGGGCTGAATGCACTGTTGGAGGGCGGCAACGGCTTCAGCTGCATTTCAACCGAGGTTACAGATTCGGTGTATGCCCCCAACCTCCTGGAAGGTCTGAGCACCATGAGGCATGACAGTTTCCTCTGTGATTTAACAGTTGCCACCAAGTCCAAGTCCTTTGATGTCCACAAGGTTGTCATGGCCTCTTGCAGTGAGTACATACGCAACATCTTGAAAAAGGATTCCACGCTGCAGAAGATCGACTTGAACGACCTCTCACCTGTGGGCCTAGCCACAAGCATCACATATGCGTATTCCGGAAAGCTCACCTTGTCGCTCTACAGCATCGGCAGCACCATTGCCGCGGCCATGCTCCTGCAGATCGGCACTCTCGTCAAGATGTGCAGTGACTTCCTCATGCGGGAGCTCAGCGTTGAGAACTGCATGTACGTGGCCAACATTGCAGATGCCTACGATCTCAAAGAAACCAAGGCAGCGGCGCAGAAGTACATGCGGGAGAACTTCATTGAGTTCTCAGAGATGGAACAGTTCCTGAAGCTCACCTACGAACAGATCAGCGACTTCCTCTCAGATGATTCCCTGCAGCTTCCCTCCGAGGTCACAGCCTTTCAGATCGCCATGAAATGGTTGGACTTTGACGAGAAGAGGTTGAAGTACGCCGCAGATCTCCTCACTCACATCCGCTTCGGCACAATCTCCGCCCAAGACTTGGTGAACCACATCCAGAGTGTGCCTAGAATGATGCAAGACCACGAGTGCCACCGTCTTCTCGTGGACGCCATGAACTACCACCTGTTGCCGTACCAACAGAATATCCTTCAGTCACGTAGAACAAAGGTACGCGGTGGCCTCAAGGTGATCCTCACAGTGGGAGGACGCCCAGCCTTGACGGAGAAATCCCTCAGCAAGGAAGTCCTCTACAGGGATATGGACAATGTGTGGAATCGGTTGACGGAAATGCCAGCAAAGAGCTTTAATCAGTGTGTGGCAATGCTGGATGGCTTCCTGTACGTGGCAGGAGGGGAGGACCAGAATGATGCAAGAAACCAGGCCAAGCACGCCGTCAGCAACTTCTGCAGGTAAAAACGGATCTCCTATGTCGCCATTTATCCAAGTGGTTTATGTCGGCTTTTTAAGTATTAACCAACTTCACATTCTTAAGGTATGACCCCCGCTTCAACACCTGGATTCATCTGAACAACATGATCCAAAGACGCACCCACTTTAGTCTCAGCACCTTCAATGGCCTTTTGTTTGCTGTTGGTGGCCGTAACGCTGACGGCGTTCAGGCATCGGTGGAGTGCTACGTGCCATCTTCCAACCAATGGCAGATGAAAGCTCCCATGGAGGTGGCCCGCTGCTGTCACGCTAGCTCAGTCATTCATGGAAAGATCCTCGTTTCTGGCGGTTACATCAACAACGCCTACTCCAGGGCCGTGTGCTCATATGACCCATCCACCGACAGCTGGCAGGATAAGAGCAGTCTGAGCTCGCCTCGCGGTTGGCACTGCGCTGCCACCGTGGGAGATCGCGCCTACGTCATCGGTGGCAGTCAGCTTGGGGGTCGTGGGGAAAGGGTGGATGTCTTGCCCGTGGAGTCCTACAACCCTCACACCGGGCAGTGGAGCTACTGTGCTCCTCTTCACACAGGCGTGAGCACAGCCGGCGTTGCCATTTTGAACAGCAATATTTATGTCCTCGGGGGCTGGAATGAGGGTGAGAAGAAGTACAAGAAGTGCATTCAGGTGTATAATGCTGACCTCAATGAATGGACTGAGGACGACGAGTTGCCAGAAGCCACAGTTGGCATTTCGTGCTGCGTCGTCACCATCCCCACTCGAAAAACAACACGAGAGTCTAGAGCCAGCTCAGTTTCGTCTGCGCCAGTCAGTATATAGGGATTGAGATCCTTATGATGTCGTTTACATGCTTCCCTAGCCTCAGGTTGTCTGTTATGTAAGCCTTTGGATCTAATAACTCCCTGTGGTGAGCACGAGAAAGGTTTTTCATAGGGTCTTTAATTTTAATAAAGGAGCAAAGGAAGTGCAAACTGAGACATTTCAAGTTTCAGTTTGGCAGCTGGATGGCTATGTTTGGCATCATTAGGGATTTGTTACTTTTATGATACAAACTGGGCAAAGCGATATCTATCACAACAATTTGCTTTTTATTAGGCAGACATTTTGTCTATGGGGCCAATACGGATGTTAGCAGTGAATTTGCCCTCATTCTGTTACATATGAAAAAAATCTCTAAAATGTAAAGTTACAATGTAAAGACATTTGTTCGGCTTTATTTACCCACTACCATGACAATCATACTGTACATGTGTTCACAGCGCCAATATTAATTTCAAAAGATTCATGGAGACGAGAGAGCCACTGTGATTCTCAGATACTTGAACAGCACGAGTTTTGGAATCAATGCTGGAATAACACCTACCAGGAGTAGGTGTTTACAATGAGTGTTTTCACACACTTCATGGCGATCTCAGCATTCAGTGGTCCTGTAGTGTGACATAAACGGGGGCGGGAGGGGGGGGGGGGTTCTGCTGGAAAATGCTGCAATAGTGAGGTATGAATGTGTTTAGAAAAAATAAAATGTAACTGGAGACAAATATTTCTGCCTGAGCTGTCTTGGGAGTTTTACATATTTCCCTGGTTGCTCATGACTTTTTTTTTTCTTTGTTTTTAAATTAAAGATTTGATATATTCACAGGACTGTTGTCGTCATTTAACAAGACCTATAGCGTATTTATATACTTATTTTAAAAATATTACGAGGATTATCTGAAAATAATTCCATCTACCCAAAATTTCTGTGTTTTGGATCATAATGGGCTGACGTAATATTTTCAACATCAGGAGCTGTTGCACTGAAGTAAACCCGTCAGAGCCAAAGCAAACTGTGTATGAGAATATCAAAGTATTATTGCTAATGTTATCCTGTTCTTTTTTTTTTATAAAGTATTTCGCCCATTGAGGGTTATTTGGAGCTGCAAACTATCCCAGTCAGGCGAGTGTACCACTACGCAGTCAATAACTTACTCATATTGAAAGTGAAGTTGTGTTTGGGAATGTGTTTTCAGGGTTTGGGTAATGTGGCATGCTCATTTGTACCTGTATTCCCACTTGTGAAAAAAGTCAGAAGTAAGATGTGGAACAACGCAACAGCGGCTTGACAGCTTGACAGTAGTTAAATACTTGTTTGAGTGAAATGCGTGACAGGTGCACCGCTGGAGGGAACCGCCCACCACTACAGCTGGAACAGAGATCAAAACAAAATCGAGACATGTCAGGCTTAAAGGAAGTTGGAAGACTGCACTGTAATTCCTGGCAACCAGTTCTGGGTGTAACCTGCCTACTGCCCGAAGACAGCTGGGATAGGCATGCCCGCAACACTTGTGAGGATAAGCAATTCGGATGAAGGATCGATGGATGAATAAAATCAGCCCCAATTTGTTACTTTATTTTTAGCACACAGTGCATGTTTAGCATAATTAATTTAGTATATGGATCAATATGGTCCCATTTTATCCACTCATAAATAATGGAAAGCATGTCATTTCATAAATGACAAAAACTTCCACTCACCTGACCTCTGAAATGTGAGAAAGAGCCTGAGTTAAGGGGCTCGTAAACTACGCCCATGTTTGGGTTCCTTATTGGAGCGGTTCGCGTGTTGTGTCACACCAGCGGTTGTGTGAGTGTCAATGTATGCTTCAAAATATAGAACAACAACTGTGTGCACCCTTGGTCGCACTATTGAGACTATAAAGGAAGCGGGAATGGTGTGGTGTCCTATTTATTGATTAAACTGGGGTGGTAATGAAGGAATTAGTGTAGAAATGTAATATGTATGCATGGTCTATGCGCCAGCGTCACCCTGTGAGCTCAGAAGGTTACGGCAGTGCGTAATTGCTCAGTGTACATCTCAGAGGGAACATTGGTTAATATGTACAGTATCTGTGTTCATAGGGATTACAGACACGGGTGCAAATAAGAGTGTGCCGGCGCGCATGAGAACTGGAAATGTAATATTGTTTTCCAGTTCGAGTCTGTATTGCGGTTGTGTTCACTATGAGTAAGTCAGGCTAGCCTCAATTCAAAGTCAATTCTGCCCCCACAATGATTGTTTTTGAGGACCAATTTCAAATTAAAAGCTAGGTGAAGCATTGCTATGTCACTGTCTCACAGTAAATGTAGTTTAAGCACGGGGGTCGGTGTCTGGGGTTGGTCAAGCCAGCCTAGTCAACCCAGCCGCCACACCGGTTGTTCAACGATGCACAAGGGTCAACTTCAAAATAAAAGTGAAACAAGTAAAACTGTACAGCAGGGGTCACCAACACCGGTCCTCGAGGGCCCCTATCGACAATGTTCTGGATGTCTCTCTCCTCTAACACACCAGCTTCGACGGTACGTCGAAATATATCCTTAGACGAAAGTGGACGGTGTTGCAAAAAAATTGTGGACTGCGGACAGCTGCCCTAGAGAAATGTGCTAAGTAAGTTTGATGATGATATGGTCTCATACTGCAAGTCAGAGGTGGGTAATTAATTTTTTGAACAGGCCAACTCAAATGTGTTAAATATCAATTTGTCTTTTTACAAAACAGTAAATTGTGTTGATTTAATAAGATGCCAATGTGTAACCTTGGTAAAATGATGTGGTTGGGATTAGGAAATAAAAACTGGAAACTGGAAAAAAAAAGAAAAAAAATTAAAAAAGATACACTAAGTCACCTGACGTGACCTCTAAAAATACTTTCACAACTTCTCAAACAGGGGACAACGTCCACTCAGCCACAAGTTGTTTTTGTTTGAGCCTCATATGGAAGAGGTTAAGGGCCTCTTCCGCATTAATGCCACTCAACCTGTCAAAGCTATTGCTTCGAAAAAGCAATTGTTCACAGTAGAAACTGATAGCTATCTGACTGTCAACCTGGTGAATTACTAGCGAAATGCTGTTTGAAACGTTCACTCCCAGATAAATGTCTTGTGATTCTCTTGTGGCACCAGCCTGACAAATATCCTTTTCTCTTTCCTCCCGTTTCACATAAAAAAATGCAAACTTCCTTTAAACAGAGGTGGTCAGTCTCTGTTGGTTGAGCCCTTTTTCCACTCCCACCCCTCCAAAAAAAACAAACAAAAAAAACAAAAGAAAAACAAGCTACTGAGATTTGCAGTGCAGTGTCCCAGGTTTATTATAAGGAGATTTTGCTTGTCTGGGTTGATTATTTTCTGTATCGCATTTATATCTGTGCATATTTTTTCTTTGGAGTCTTGTTTCTTTGTGGACATTTGACTCCTCTGTCTTATCTAAATACAGAACTTTTACCTGATCTTTCTTATCTTGTAAGCCCCACCCTTTCCCCCTGAGTAAGCATTACTAATCATTTTCTCATGCGCTCTTCTGTTTTGTAGAAGCATTAGCTTAGCCTTTTTCTTCAACATTTTTGTGATCAATTTTTGGGGTGCTATTTACAACAAGAATTCCTCTGAGATAATATTTGTTTCCAGAATTTCCTGGCAGGCCGAAACAAATGCTCTTAGGCCAAGGGATGGTTAATTGGACTGTGTTTTGGTGTAACAAGAGTTCCAGGGTGTGCCTTCATTCTTTTTCGCTCAGTTGTTATTTACTCTAGTCTAGAACCTAAAACACGTTTGTATGTTTGCTTTATTGACATAAAACCTTTATCCAGCTTCATCCAACAAGACGTGTGGATTTAAACAGGACCAAAATGCTTACCTCAGTATAGCATGAAACAAGACCTGTTCTATTAATTATGCATCTTTTTTTCTTTTCTAAATTTTATTACTCCTTCTTCATCCTATCGCTGCTGACTTTGGATGCGAAACTGGGTACAAACCGGCCTGGTTGCCACCTAGTAGTAGGGCAGTTCATTTTGTTATAAGTGACAGTGGTATTTGGGTCACATGTTTTCTCAGCACGATGGAACACTCTCATCATCGTTTGCTGTGTCATGCTTTGTTTACTTTGTCTGCCAGAGAGATTACATCAGGCATGAATAAAGTCAAGGTTCTTTAAAATGAAAACAATAATTTGAGGTACTGTACGTTATTAATTATATGTTATCTTTCTAACACTGAAGAAACAAACCTTAAAGTGCTAGGACAGTCTTGTATTTTAAAATAAAAAATAATACTGTGACTATTACTGGACATTTAGCACTTGGTTTGATATTTGTCTTTAATCCAAATCCCGAGACAATTTCAGTGTAGTAATAGAACAATAATGAATTGAGAAATTACATTTTAAAATAGATTTGACAAATAAAAAGTCTAGGAAAGTGGATATTGAAACATTGAATTGCTGAATAAAGTGTGACGATATCACTTCATGTAAAGGTTGATGAAACCACAAAAGATTTAATTGGAAGTATTGGAAAAGAAAAGTACAAATCTGCATCTATAAATTGTGACAAGTCGAGTGTTTCTGTGAAATGATGACGAGGAGAAAATTTGGAATTTTGAAATCTGCTTTCTAACAAAAAATACTTCAGTCTCAGCGTTACTCAATTTTACCCTCACACCCGCGTTTTAATTGTTCCAGTTTTACGAGGTTATCAGTCAAATACATTATTTCTTAATCTCCTATTTTTCCGCGGTCGTTTGGAAGGCATCAGCCTTCCGTATGTCTTGACAGGTGGCACAGGAAAGCTTCTCGAAGAATGCTGAGTCATAGTTACGTCATGTGAAGTGAGGTGGGGGGTGTCTACTATGTACTACAGCGTACTCTGGTGAAGTGGGCTGGCTCGGTAGCAACGGCAAAACCGGTTCAACCCACAACAGAAGTGCATACTTAAAAAGCGCCCAAGCAGCAGGCAAGTGCAAGAAAAAGTCACAGAGCGCTTTCTGCGAGCATCGTTGCTACCGCAGCGTGTCTTTTCGCTCAGCAGATATTAGCCAGTGATGATCAGGGGCCCTTCTTTTTTTGCCTCTTCCGGGGAATAATTTTAAAATTAAACGGGAATAATCTGGGGATAATCGAATCGAACAACACTTTTAGACAACCACTACATTTGTGTTATTCTGAAAAACAAATTAAGGATCATCCCGCTGGTTTCGTTTTCGGGGCTGCGACTCTATGCTAGCTGAGCACAAGTTGGGACACGAGCTAGGGAGCTAGCACTCGGCGTAGTTAGCCGAAAAAGGCAGCGAGGCAAGCGGTCGTCGCCTCACCCTCACCGAGCGTCTGCGAGATGGGTTTACTGACTCAAGGTTCCCCCCTCAACTGGGAAAACACCAAGAAGTATGCGGATTACATCCGATCGCACGGCATCATTCAGTTCATCAACATTTACAACAATTTGAAGGACCGGCAGAAGGATGTACTCAAATGGGGCGATGAGGTAAAACATTTTCCCCTTTCTTTCATTTTGAGAACCTGCTACTGTTGCGTTCAGTGTCTTAGGGTATATTTTCCAGACGCGCTGGCAGTCATGTGCTCCATTTGTAGTGCTGTAATGAGTTTAAGGCGGCGCGTTACGTGTAGCGCCTGTGTGTGTGATTTAAACACCAAGTCATGTGAGCAGAGCTATTAAAACAGTGAAACCGATTATTCCATTAAACAGTGCCCCACATTCGAGCTTTCATATTGTGTTCCATTGACCCGTGCACCAGTAAACGTGAAAGATTGGCTACATCGATTTTTTGTCCTTGCACAACTGCCATAAAAATTGTATCTTGCCGAGTTTGAATAACGAACGGGGCACCTAAATCAATAAAACCGGGCTTTACAATTGTCGTCACTAGCTTTGATCTGTCATGTGGAATGTGATTTCAAACAATGTGGAGTGCTGTTGTTCGAGATGAAGCCCTCTTTGAGCCATGGGATTACATTACTGAGGTTACAGTCAAGGAAACTCCTCTACACCCTCATGACTTGGGTGACTGGTGGAGTGAAAATATGATGAATGTGTTCTCATGCAAAAGTGATCAGAATATTATATGAATATGATCGTAGGTGGAGTACATGTTGGTGGAACTGGATGACAAGGATGAAAAGGTTCAACTGGTGTTGAATGGCGATGAAGTTTTGGATACCCTCCAAGGCCAAGGTGAAAAGATAAATCCCAAGTAAGTTACAGTAGCACTTCGACAGAGTCAGGAGAAACTTTGCCCTGCAGCCAAACCACTGACTACTTTTGTTTCACGCTCACGTTGTGTTTGCACACAAACTTGTCCTGTTAATGTGTCATAAGACGATCGGTTATACTGCCTAGGTTTCCCACAATTTTGAGCTGCCATACATTGACATGAGTGAAAGTCTTCAAAATAAAAATGCAATCGAACAAAAAAGTAACTCTCCTGACACATTAAAAGACATCTGACCCCATGTAATGGAAGAGGACTTGCTTATTTTCATGAGCAATTATCCTTTCAGCTACAATTTTGATCTACAATGAGGGCTATGTTGACTTACTAGTGCCCAAGTATTTTACAACAAAGTGCTGTTTTTCTCATTTAAAAAAAAAAACAAAGTTTGCTTTTTGCAGGGAGGATAAAATCAATGTTATAGTGAATGAGTTTTCAGCTTGGTCACGGAACAAATTCAATTCAAAATCTTTTCAAAGGTTCGCCCTCCCATTTTCGGTCTTGTCAGTTGTACTCTTGTGGTAACGTTGGAAAAGAAGAAAAATTATTAAGGGGGTAATTGGAAAATCGGGTTTTCGTTTGCTGAAGCGAATCGTTACTTTTTAAAATCGTTGCATCCTTGAAACGTATCGCACCCCATGTATCGAGTCGTCTTTTATGACGTTCACCAAGAATAAATCGCTTTCACAATTTTGATGATTTGTCTTTTCTGGTACACCTGGAGGTTCCACTCCAAAAGACTGTAAAACCTATGGATCTGTTATTATAGAATGTGCTAGAATTACTGTATATCGAGAAATGAAAGTGAAATTGGAGCGTGATTCTCAGCTCGTTACGTTTCACACCCATGTGTTCATACCATATGGGCCCCATCCTGCCACAAGAGGAAGCTTGCAAAAGTCAATAAAATGTCAATTTGAGTGGTTTGAACATTTAGAATGTGGCCACTGGCTATCCTTGTTCATAAAAGTCTTCTAGTTTGAGCAAAGGGGTCTCGCAAGGTAGGTAGCGAACTCTGCTTTGTGTTTAACTCGAATAAGCTTCATCCTCCTCCTCTGGATTTTAGCTTTTTTTTTTTTTTTTTTTGTATGATCAGAACTGCTTGCAGATGTGGCTTCCTCCAGACGTATCACCTTCCAGTCTCTAGCCCCCACCTTCTAAATTATTGTAAAGCTCCACATACCTCACTCTTGACGTATGCTGTACTTTTTATGTGCAGCAACGTGGCAGTTATTTAAAGTGACCAAATAAGCTTTGGATTTCTGATGTTGAGGTTGAAACTGTATATTTAAAAAAAAAAATCCTTTATTAAAAGCTCTTCTGAAAATGTAATACTATGCTGAGGCAACGTAAAGTTACTTTCACAATTTAAAATGTGGCTATGGTTAGTAGCCCTTCTTTTGCACAAGGTAAAATTTGGTCTCATAAATTTCAGCAAATAGGGACATAACATGGGTGAACGTTTCCATGCGTTTGAGTGCATGCTCTAGAACGACCGAAAATAAATGCAAATATATTTTAATATAATCCCCGGAGAGGACATTCCCTCTATATGGTGCTTTATTTTAGTCACATGCATTACATGCATGCAGATCTAATCCACATGCAAAAATAGATTCTGCAGTTATGCAGGCGAGCGGATGAATGTTCTTTGCTGAAGTACACCTCAACAAAAAAAGTAACCAGGAATCAATTCAGCATTCCTCCAATAACATTTCTGTATTTGGTTTACTGTGCGATTCCAACCTTTATGTCTTAGGTTATGTGTTATGTTATATTACCGTATTTTGTTATTTTATGTTAACTGCAGCTGTTGAGAAAGCGCAATATAACGAGATGGATTGTACCGGTATTGTATTCACCTCCTGGTCCCCAAGCCAAATCCTTATGGTCTCAATTATTGACACATCGTTTGACAGTTAAGAAGTTCCTCCCAAAATGTAAGGCTATAATGTTCTCATGATGAACAGACATCTGCTTGGCAGACAAGTCCCCGCCCAGTCTTTGGAATGTTTCAGGCATGTTCCCAACATGAAACTGCGTTACATTCGAAAGGAAGGCCATGTTTGTACAAGCCTGCCACATTGTCCAGGACATTGCTCTAAATCTGCGCTGCCAGCTTCGCCCAGGGGAAATCCTGGTGGCAGAGAGAATAGTAGAGCCCAACATTCCACATTACTTCCCCTCTGGCACTCTCACACCGGTCCGTTGGGTACTCTCGACCCGCCAAAATTATTGCTACCGTAGGCTAAAAGGGGGGGAGCGGTCGATTGAGACCTCTGATCATTTCAATTGAATGATTTTCTTTCTTTGTGCAGCCATCCCACGCTTTGGAGGCCAGAATATGGCAGCTACATGATAGAAGGAACTCCAGGGCAGCCGTATGGCGGCACCATGTCGGAGTTTAACACTGTCGAGAGCAACATGGGGAAGAGACGACGAGAGGCTTCTTCTGTCCTCAACCAAAATGAAATTCTCTGCACAATCACCTCTTTTCCAAGGTACACAACATCGAGATTTTTAAAAGGTACCGCATCCTCAACGAACGTAACATCTCCTTCCCTATCGCAATACATCTGTAGGCGTTCAAGTCCATGCCAAAGCAGCAAGTGGTGTTATTCTTTAAATCGAAAGCCATTGTCACAATTTACAGAAAAAGAACAGGAATGGATTTAAGTGTGTATACTCATGAATAACCTAAGTATATACAAAGTAAAAAAAAAAAACATTACTAAACCTTGTCATATAAGGAATTCCTCCCTTTTGTCTTTGTCTGTTAGACTGGGTTGCCCCGGTTTTACGAAGCCTGAATATCCGCCAACACCTTTTGAGAGTGGAGCATCAAAGTCACTGTTTTTCCCAGATGAAGCCATTAACCACCACCCAAGATTCAGGTGGGGCACCAACTCACTTCATACTTTGTATTCCAATACTTTTACTTAATAATGAATGAATGCATTTGTGACGTAACGATAAAATAGGTGTTGTCATGGCACTTGTGCATCACCCGGTTTGTGGACTTTCCTTTTCAGCACCCTCACCAGGAACATACGTCACAGACGAGGAGAGAAAGTCGCAATCAATGTACCAAGTAAGTCTCAGTGATACTCGAATGAGTTCATTATTTGCATTATTTGATCCCAATTGCAAAACAAATGAAATTGTGTGGCAGTATTCAAAGACAAGTGCACGCCATCTCCTTTCGTGGAAACGTTTCCTGAAGATGATGGGGAGTCGGCAAGGGCAGCTCTGCCTGACCACATCTATATGGACTGCATGGGCTTTGGGATGGGCAACTGCTGCCTGCAGGTAGAGACCATGTTCATACAGCCGAAGCAACATCTCTTAACAGCCCTTGTTTTTTTTTTTTTTTAATTATTTTATCAGTCCGATAAGATGGTGCAATCCAGTCTGGCAGTGGCGACGCTGGCTTTCATCCTGCCATAAATGTATGTCGTTAAACGGTTTATTATATCTGCAGGTTACTTTCCAAGCTTGCAGCATCGATGAGGCAAGATACCTCTATGATCAACTTGCGACATTCTGCCCGATAGTGGTGAGTAGATCGTGAAGAGCGCGTGCCAGATAATTAGATTTCTCACATTTGTCGTCCAGCGTTACAATAATGTATATTTGACTTAATCACGAATGAAGTTTATCTACGATTGGTGTGTAAGTCCGCTGCCAGGCAGGCTACGAGCAAATGCATTGGCACCCCCCTCTTCCTCATTCAATCACGAAACATCCCGGTTAGAAGGCTGTGTGTGTGGTATCCAGACTTGGATGGTTATTTATTTAAACGGAAAGGATGTCACCCGACCCACAGCCCTCTGTGACACAGAGCAAGCAAAATGGGCGTCGTCAGTGACAGAGTGACAGACAGTACCGAATCTAGAAAACAGAGCGAATGACTCAGGTTGGTCAATTTCTGACCAATAAAATGCCGCGTTGAATTGGGGAGACGGCACGGCCAAGACGGCTTTCAATGCCGTAACGTCGCGACTCCGCCTCTTTCAGGCAAGTCTGGCTGAGCGCATTAGCTGTCGTGGAGTCTCGATAAATAGGTTCCACGAGCTACTATAAGCTTACTTTAATACTACCAGTGTAACCTAAAACATATTTGAATGCTGACTTTGAGTAAAACAGCTCAGCAGTGACCCTATTGTTGCAGTTCAATTGTCAAAGTCCCATTTATGCTCATGTAGTGGAAATATACACACACACAGAGTCACACACAAACAAAGCAAAACACACTCATAGAGCTGATTATCACAAGATTCGCTGATGTGCATGATAAGGCTTCAAACTAAGTTTAAACATTTTTAGGCATATATTCCGAAACAATTTGAACCACAAACTGTACGACTGAACGTGTTTCTGTATTGTAGCTTTAAACAAATAACAGCCACCGGGATCAACAGTGTATTGTGGCTCTAATGATTTAAACGCTGCCAACACAGAGTACTAATTTGACTGTGTGCGTGCAGATGGCTCTGAGCGCAGCCTCTCCCTTCTACAGAGGCCACGTGTCAGACATCGATTGTCGCTGGGGGGTTATTTCTGCCTCAGTGGATGACAGGACACAGGAGGAACGTGGCCTCAAGGTGAGCCGCTCAGACAACATGCTGTGTAGCAGCATGTTGTCTTACACTTTTGCCATTTTCAATCATCCTGTCAAATTAGTTGCATTCATTTAGTTTCTTCCCTGATTTATTATTTTAAAAAAAAACTAGAATCTAACATAGACAAGTCATCATTAAACATTTAATATTCATTACAGCTAATACTCATTTAAAATGTCGTTTACAGCATGGTGGAAAAAATGTTAACTGGCGCTTGACCGTTTGTTTTGTTTGTTTGTTTTTTTTTTCTATTACAGCCTTTAAAAAACGACAAATATAGAATCTTCAAGTCAAGATACGACTCCATTGACAGCTACTTGTCTAACTGCGGCAACAAGTATAACGACATTGATTTGACGATCGATGAGGACATCTACAATCAGCTACTGGGTGCAGGTATTAAATCTACGCTTTATGGAGTAAAGCGTCATCTTGAAGTCAAACATACTGCAGCGGGCGCATGACAATCTCCTGCAGGAATTGACAAGCTGCTGGCCCAGCACATTGCTCACCTCTTTATCCGAGATCCGCTGTGCGTCTATGAGGAGAAATTGCAACAGGACGACGAGAATGAGTCGGACCACTTTGAGGTGAGGATCGATCCTGTGCCTGCATGGAAACAAGGGCTTAACATCAGTTGTACTTGAGACGTAAACTGTTCTTGGTACTGTTTGACAGAACATCCAGTCAACCAATTGGCAGACGATGAGGTTCAAACCACCTCCTCCCAACTCGGACATCGGCTGGAGAGTTGAGTTCCGCCCGATGGAGGTAAGTCGTGCGATTTCACGTCTGGCCCGCTTGAAATGAGGATCACGGACACTGGACTCGTTTCACTTCTCAGGTGCAGCTCACCGATTTCGAGAACGCTGCTTATGTGGTCTTTGTCGTCCTGCTCACCAGAGTGATTTTGTCCTACAAACTGGACTTCCTCATCCCTTTATCCAAGGTGAAGACATGTTTATTTGAAGACGCCTATATAGGTTCAACATACTGGCTTTTCTGTCATCAGGTGGATGAAAACCTAAAAATGGCACAGAAGAGAAACGCAGTGAAGGATGGAATGTTCTACTTCCGAAAGGACATCTTCAAAGGTGACCGAAAAGGACAGCGTGATATTCAGTGGGGCGCAGTCACACCTGAACACATTTGTCTGCAAACAGGATGCAACCCAGGCCTGGATGGCACATCCTCGGCCCAGAACGGTTTGGAGACAGACGGAGCTAACGAGGAGTACACCCTGATGAGCATCGACACTATCATCAATGGACAAGTAAGAGTCGCCTCCTATGGGAAGAAACTACTGTAGCCTATGGAGCCCACAAATTTGTCGTGTCATAGATCATAGATCAGGCCTTCATCCAGCTGCGCCTTTTCTCTAGAACTGTGTTCCAAAACCAACATGCCGCATTAAGGTGATTACATAATATCAGTGCTGGCGTGTAGTGGAATTTATAAATACTTAGCAGGCACAGACCATTGGTTTCACCACAACAGAGCTTCCTGGAGTGCGTTTCCATCATCCTGTGGCATCTTGGTGCCAGGGAAGTATGTTGAAGCATTTCATTGAGTGCTTTGTTGCCATCAATCGGTCATCATTCAACTTTTTGGGCAGAGGCATCAATTTCCCATGGATTCTATTACTGCAGGGCTCGGTGCCTATTCTCTGAAAGTAGCGTGGGCGCACTATATATCAGGGTGCAAATCTTAACAGCCCATGAATGGGTTTTTCAATGAGTCAAAGGTTTGTTTGTGGAGGTCAGTCAGACCGTGTGGTAATGTAATAATCACAACAGAATGTGGGGGGGCTTCTCTACAGGCTGTCTGTTTGCTTGGCATGAAGAAAGGTTCTATGCGTGCTGACCCAACCAAAGTACATAGTGAAGGAAACCAATGTGGCTTTTCTTTTTTTGTTTGTTTGTTTTTAAATAACTAGGAGGGAGTTTTTCAAGGGCTCATTCCTATCCTCAATTGCTATCTGGAGAACATGGAGGTTGACGTGGACACCAGGTGCACCATTTTGAATTACCTGAAGCTTATCAAGAAGCGCGCCTCAGGTACATTTGAACCACAATGCTGCAACATTTTTTCCCCAGAATTTTTCCAATCAGAGATGCAATTATACTTTCTTTAAGATGATTTTTTTTTCAAAAGAAATTCTCTGGCCAATCAGTTTTACTAATTATGATGATAATAATACTGTACTGTATAATGAAATATGATAATATTTATGAATGAAGAGCTAGGTTCAGGAACAGTTGGAGTTTATTTTTCTGAAACATCGGAGCTACAAATTACTTAGATCACACTTTTTGGCATTCGAGTCAGTCTTTGGTTTGAAGTATCTGCCGATCCCAAGTCCCAATCCAATACCATGGCAATGCATTAAGGGAAAAAAAACGTGCATCTGATTTTTCTCAAATTAACATGTAAATATGCATACATCAATGTGTCTATGTTGCTAAATATATATGTATATTATATGGACCATTCCACCAAATCAGTGCCAATTGGGATTCGTATTACTCTCAAAACAAACTCAGAGGCTTGTGATTGGTACATCCCAATAAATGCATGGTAAAATTCATATCGCGCAAGCTTTTATAGGTCAAAAAAATGAAAATATCTGAAAAAAAACTGACATGCTAGAAATGAGTAAAGACATTCTTTTTTTTAAATCAGCGTCAAAATATGTTTAGGGATGCAAAAAGCCATCTTTGATCTCTAAAATTCGCCGTTGACCATTGTCAGCTTTGCATCTTGGGCCTCACTCTGCTTTGCTGTTCAGGCGAGCTGATGACGATGGCAAAGTGGATGAGGGAGTTTGTGGCCAAGCATCCCGAGTACAATTTTAAATAACTAGGAGGGAGTTTTTCAAGGGCTCATTCCTATCCTCAATTGCTATCTGGAGAACATGGAGGTTGACGTGGACACCAGGTGCACCATTTTGAATTACCTGAAGCTTATCAAGAAGCGCGCCTCAGGTACATTTGAACCACAATGCTGCAACATTTTTTCCCCAGAATTTTTCCAATCAGAGATGCAATTATACTTTCTTTAAGATGATTTTTTTTTCAAAAGAAATTCTCTGGCCAATCAGTTTTACTAATTATGATGATAATAATACTGTACTGTATAATGAAATATGATAATATTTATGAATGAAGAGCTAGGTTCAGGAACAGTTGGAGTTTATTTTTCTGAAACATCGGAGCTACAAATTACTTAGATCACACTTTTTGGCATTCGAGTCAGTCTTTGGTTTGAAGTATCTGCCGATCCCAAGTCCCAATCCAATACCATGGCAATGCATTAAGGGAAAAAAAACGTGCATCTGATTTTTCTCAAATTAACATGTAAATATGCATACATCAATGTGTCTATGTTGCTAAATATATATGTATATTATATGGACCATTCCACCAAATCAGTGCCAATTGGGATTCGTATTACTCTCAAAACAAACTCAGAGGCTTGTGATTGGTACATCCCAATAAATGCATGGTAAAATTCATATCGCGCAAGCTTTTATAGGTCAAAAAAATGAAAATATCTGAAAAAAAACTGACATGCTAGAAATGAGTAAAGACATTCTTTTTTTTAAATCAGCGTCAAAATATGTTTAGGGATGCAAAAAGCCATCTTTGATCTCTAAAATTCGCCGTTGACCATTGTCAGCTTTGCATCTTGGGCCTCACTCTGCTTTGCTGTTCAGGCGAGCTGATGACGATGGCAAAGTGGATGAGGGAGTTTGTGGCCAAGCATCCCGAGTACAAGCAGGACAGCGTCATCAGCGACAAGATCAACTACGACCTCTTTGTGAAGTTCGACAGGATTGCCAGGGGCCAAGAACAATGCCCGGAGCTCATTGGGAATCCAGTCAACAAGGTTAAGTGAGAACCTTCGCTGGCAACATGTATCAGACAAAACGACCAAATATGTGGCTCTTGTTGAAATCGATCCAATGTTTAAGATATGATAAAACATTGTTTTTAAAAGCAAAACATCTGCAGCAATCTTATGTACTGTACATATACTGTATCAGAATTTTCTGACTGGAAATTATTTTAATAAGGTTAAGACATGCTCAAGTTATGTCAGAAATGGTGTATTTATTTTTTTCTGGGAATCTGGATGACAATGTAAATGTAGCAGAGTTGTACAGTAGTTTTTCCCCTCCTCTCTACTGTTAATACTGCACTTGTGCTCTTTGCAACATTAACACAGTGTGCCGTGCTGTGTGTTTGTCTCGTTGCATCTGTGTGCGCTTTCTTCTACTTTGGGGATAAGCTCCGTTTGATTTCACCAAGATGATCTGTTTTGACTTTACTCAGAATTGTAGTCGCAGGAATACAAGTGGGGGTAGTTTACATGTGATGCTGCTTCAAATAAATCTGTATGACACATCTGCTTGTTCTTGGCTTGGAGAAATGTGTTTGGTTTTTTTCTTCCCTTCCAGTCGCGACCTGCGTAAGTACCATTGGCTGTTCACAATTTGGCATAATGTCTGAACAGTCCATTTATTTTACACTCCCCGTGGAAGAGGGTTGGCCAATATTGGCCAATATGTTGGGCATGTAGCAGCACTTTCCTTTTGTGTGAACCCGCACTAAAAATCCACAATTACTGTAATAATAAACAACCAGGATGAATTCCTAAATCCGAGCAGGTGTTTCTGCCAGCCCCTGAGTGAGTGTAGACTTAAGAGCTGGCGTGAGGTGTAAAATGTAACAAAAGTGTAGACACAAAAAGGCACCATAAGTAGCCTTAAACATAAAACTCCATACCAATACAATCGGAAAAAAATGCATCTTATTAACTCTGCCCTCTCTTGTAATGCTGAGTCTTTTTTTATCCACTAGATGGAAGCAGTGAACTACAGACCAAACCTGACCAAATCATTAGCACCCAAAACTTAAGCTCATGGATGTAGTTGTTCCTTGCTAATGTTTATTTTGGCCGATAGACACTAGCTTTAGTACCTATTTGTCACCCTGACAACCTAGCAGGTGGAACGAGGTCATACATTTGTCCATTTGTGCCTGGATCTGTGCATATGGCGCAAGCAGCGGACACCCTGACAAACACAAAGAACCCCATGCACACATAACGTCTAGTCTACATTGTCACCGAACTTATCAGAAGTATGAGCCCCTTATCAGAAGCTTAAGTAGTTATCTGAAGAAACTAAACTGTGTATTTCACGGAACATAATGCAATTCTGCTTACCTATTGCCGTTGACAAGACACGTTTCAGACAGCACAGTCCCGGCAGTTGCCTGAAAATGGTTGATCTGAATTATGACAACACAATTTAGCAAAAACTGTTTGTTCCTGGACAAATAATCAGAAATAGGCGATTAGGGGTGCTACAATGAATCGATTGATCAACAATCAATCACTTATCAAATGAAATGACAGTAAATAGTCTCAGAATTTAGTCTTCTATAAAAACAGACATGAACAATGATCAACATGTCTGCCTATTTTATGACAGGTAACAAATCAAAACAGTAACCAAATGCTAAAAAAACACGAGTGCTTTTTTTGCAATTTCAAATGCCCTGTTTTAAATGAAGGGATTGAAAGCGTTTTTAAAATCCAGTTCATCTTTGCAGCCCGCTCCAACTTTTACACATCTTGTACCGTAACGTACGCAAGGTGTGCGTCATGTCACAGCGTGCGTGGGTGCGTGCGAGCGCGTGTGGTTTCCTGGCTCATTCGTACCCCTCCCACTCTATATTATCTCTATTGAATGTCTCCAGTTTGTGCTCCCCGCCGGCCCTCGAGCCACGGTTGAACACTTGATTTTTCCTCTTTAAAAAAAAAGACAGAGAGCAAGAGAAAGCGAACGAGTGGGTCCACAGTCCGTGTCGCGTCCACTCTCGTGTCCGTCCGTGGGCGCTGTGACTTTTCTGGTGAGTGCGACCCATCGGCACAATTTGTCACTTTGAGCCGATGGTTAAAGCGTGTTTTGTGTATCCTATGTGAGATGCGTTGAGAATCGCGTGTGGGTGTGTGGTAGCACGACGCCCAGTGCTCACATGTATCACATGAGAGCACTGTCAGGAAAGTAAAACGTTACTTAGTCAGTGAACGACACTTGCGTTTATAGTTATGACCTATGCTGCTTCGATATACGGCTTAAAAGTGGACAAAAAGTCCCGGGACAAGTGCTAATGAATTTTTCGATGTCGTTGCAAGGGGTGACAACTGAAGCAAAATAGGACAATGATGATAATGATCATACTAAAGCTTCATAACTATTGACCAGTTGTACATATTTGTTGTTGCTTGGCACAGTCTCCGCTGTGAAAGAATGCAATTTAATTGACGTATACAATGAATTCTACAATAAACATATAGTATTGCTAGCATCTTCAATTTGCACTTTGACATTCTGTAATTCCACTGCTGCTTCAGCCCCCCCTCCAAAACCCTCATTTTTTTTGTTACATGTTTTTAAGGAATAAAAATAACACTGTATTGTTGATTCCCATTGACTGATTGTTTGCTTGATATGAAGATATAAACATCCATCCATCCATTTTGTAAAGCGCTTTTTGCTGAAGCCTCACAAATAAAAATAAAAGATTTACACAAAATAAAAATGTGGCAATGCATTTTAACCTTTGGCACAGTTTACATGTTCAAAAAGGAGTAAAAGGAAGTAAAAAAATTGATCTAGTCCCACCTCTTGTTCTGTATATAATTTTCATTTACTGTTATATTAATGTAAGCTTATGTTAAAATATTAATTATTTTCATTTTATATTTGAGCATTATATTCTTTTGTGTTACAGTTACCTAGGTTATATTCCGTTTAGTAATTACTTCAACAAGTTTATGTTGATATTATCTGATTGGTGAAGGAAACCAGGAAGTGTTTTGTGTTGCCGGGAAGGAGGTGTGTTCTCGTTCGTTCGTTCGTTCGGAGGTGCAGACGTGGGAAAATAAAAAGCTGCCTTCAAAGGATTCCATCTCTCCTTTTGCCCATTTTTAAAGTAGAGCTATCCACTACAAAATTACGAACCTCTCAACTTACATGAATAATGTTATTCATACAGTACACTACAATAGACGTATGCAAATTATCTGAATAACAGGTTCATATTCACATGTACAATAATTGTTTTATGAAAATAAACATATGAACCCCTTCAAGGAACCAACAGTTTAAAACATTCTAAAAAAAGAATGACTAACTCACACACACAAAAAACAAACAAAACAAAAACAAACAAAAAAAAACGTAAAACCTGTAAATATAAAAATATCTAAAGAACCACTGCTATGCAATTAATTGAAGCAAAAGTTACACATGCTGAATTAGTCCTTTAAATGGTGTGGCCCAGTGAGTGCTTTGTAGTTCTCAACTTGACTCTATGGTCTCTTGATCTGTTCTCCCCTGAGAGCCCTGACGGCAGCTCCGGCAGCGGGGACCAGAGAAGGCTGACCGAACCAACGAGAGCTCCGCGGAAACCAACATTTCAGCGTTTCTTAATCGCTAATTCACAAATAAAATAGAGCCCAGTCCACTTCAAACGCCCTTTTGTCCAGTAATTGTCAAAGTCTGTTAGTTCCAGAACCGTTGTTTACTGGTGCTGTGCACAATTAACAGAGACTGTTGTCACAGATGTACAGAACAGACAAGAGCTGGCTAACGTGGCTACATGGCGGCCATGTTGGCAGGGGCGACATTCTCAATGGAAAAACTTGCCATTAGCGTAGCACTGCTGCAGTCAGGCTGCTCAAAACGAGTGTGTCGTCGCTGCTGATTTATATTAATGGCTATTGTTTACTGGATACTCCGATAGGTTTTAGCTCACCCTCAAATGAGGAAAAAGCTCTCGATAAAATGGATGGATTGAACAGAATGGAAATGTAACGAATGGTATTTGGATTTCAGTGCACAGTTCATTGCACAGAAATACGTATGATACTGTCTATTAAAATGCAGAGATGTCCTGTAGAGGCCATTATCATCACATTAAATAATGTCTGATTACTTTGCATGACTTGATCATGTTTTGTGCCGGAATGCAAGTCATTACTTGCCATACAGATGTTGGTAAAATGCTTTAAGGGCCCACTAGTAGTTAAGCATTGTCCATAGATGACTATAAATACATAGTTTGTCTAAAAGCACGTAAACAAAGTCACTGGTGCTTCTCCTACTGATCGGCAAGCCCAGAGATATTGCAATGTCCTATGACTGTGCAGAGGACGCATGCGGATTAAGTTTTCATGTTTTTTGCTGAATTTGATAACTCTCAAATCTCAATGCATGTTTGCGTCGCTTCATCCAAGGTTGTTGTAATCTGTTTAACCCTTCTGTGATTTTAATCTGAACAAGGCCCCTGCCCCACACAAATCTGTCATGAACCAAACAGATTGTAATCCCGTCGATGTTAAGTAATAATAAATGTAATAAGTGGCGCTGGGTTGATGGACACAATAGTGCAGTGGAGTTTTGTTTCTTAACCATACAGGAAGGCTTTGCTAGTATTGTGCACTTTTTTTGTGGCTGGATAATACGGAATAGAAAGGGTGATATCACATCAGTGGTAAAAATGTCGGTTGCAGTAATACTGTCAATGTACACAAAGCGGCTTTTCTTTTCTGTAAAGTGGAAGACATTTGTAAAGAAAGTGTTAGGAAGGTGTTGTCATCAATGTTTCATTTCAGTGAAACAGTTCAGAAATCTGGTAACTTCCTTAGCATCAGTTAGCATATCCAAGTATCAGCATTGGTAAAGGCGATACTGCTCCTCTATTTACTTGGTATCAGATCGATACTAACTAACATATGCAGTACCACACACCACGAGCTGACAGGCGAAAGTTTAAGATGTAAAAATTAGCTCAGCATTGCTAGCTTGTGTACAGAGTCATAATTCAGAGTTTGTCTTTTAACAGGACACTTGTTATCTGCTGTTGATGTTTTATGACTTTCAGGTGACCATGGAGGCCTTGGATCAACGACTCAACACCTTCTTGGAATCATGGTTGGGTCCCAGAGGTAAGTGACAACACAATGTACAATGTCTTCTGAGAGTTTGGCTTGATTAAAAATGCAACTTTAAATACAGAAGACTGGGGAGCTATGTTGGTAGATCCTTGTTAATTCCACCTATGTCCTGATCTGATCTAATCTTGCCTATGATGTAATATTATTTCAGACCAGCGGGTGCGGGGTTGGCTGCTGCTCGACAACTACTCGCCGACTCTCGCCCTCACCCTTGTGTACCTGGTGGTGGTGTGGACGGGGCCCAAATACATGAGACACAGGCAGGCGTTGTCGTGCAAAGGCCTCCTCGTAGTCTACAACATGAGCCTTATGCTCCTGTCGCTCTGCATCTTCTACCAGGTATGCGGGCACTCACAGCAATGGATAAACTGCAACAATTGAAGACAGAATTATGTTAACATATTCACTCAAACCCCCAGTGTGTCAGTTTACTATTGCATCCATGCATTTTCTAATCCGCTTACCCTCACGAGGGTCACGGGCGTGCTAGAGCCTTTCCCAGCTGTCTACGGGCAGTAGGCGGGGTACACCCTGAACCGGTTGCCAGCCAATTGCAGGGCACACATAGATGAACAACCATCCGCGCTCACACTCGAACCTAGGGAAAATTGAGAGTGTTCCATTAACTTGCCATGGATGTTTTGGGAATGTGGGAGGAAACCGGAGTGCCTGGAGAAAACCTATGCAGGCACGGGGAGAACATGCAAATTCCACACAGGAAGGCCGGAGCTGGAATTGAACCCTGCACCATGAGACCAACATGCTAACTGGTCGTCCACCGTGCCGCCCTGAGTTTACTATTGATTTTTAAAAAATTGTAATCCATGCTAAAATCAATCAGATTCTCTGATGGCAGGGGAACTTGTTGTCAGGCAACAGACTCCAGGACATCCTGCTCAGACCACAGACTCCAAACCATGGAACCTAATCACCACAAGTTGCATTGGAGATTTAGGTAGAAATGTCATTTAAAATACACGCCCACGGAGATCATCACCTGGGCTTCTTGTGAGTCATCCTTCCCCACTCAGTTATTATCGTAAGCACATAATAATGTCGTACATTGTTTGCTAAGCAAGAGCAAGAAGCGAAACCAGCAGTCCCTCTTTGTTTCAGCTCAGTCTTTTGGTTAACTGAAGTTGCGGTTGGTATAATCAGTGATGCCGGTAATGCGTTACTGAAAAATGGCTGCCGTTTCAAAGAACCAGTAATACAATGCATTATTATAGCGAACATTGTCACGGTAATAACATAACTGCTGAACCCACTTTATTTGTCAAAGTCAGTAAATAACTCCCCGTAGCCCAATGCAGATGTTGCAACAAATGCCCAGCAAAAATATTGAAATAGGCTTTTTTTTTTTTTTTTTTTTGCAACATTGACTCGGGCCGCAGAAGTGACTAATAGGTCAAATTCCGCTATGTAGCGAAATAAATAAAAACATCCAATTTTGAAGAAACATCAAGAGCCACACCATTTTACATTCAAGCTGACAAAAGTGCCAACAGGTTGTGTGAAGCTGATTTTTGTTTTTTGTGTGTTGCATTTACAAACAATGTTCATTATAATGTTTTACCATTGCATTTAATACAGCTTAAGAGCTATTAACAGATAAACGTATCACAATGAACATGAAACATTGTTGAACAAATAAATAGGTTGAATAATTTTACTGTGCTAAAGCTAACCCTACGTTTGGGAAAGCCTGCGTGACCTTTTATGGGATGGCAACTCAAGCGTATCAGAAGTGTGTAGTCTAAAGTGTGTCTCCGCCTCTTCAGGCTGACTTCTTGCCTCCCCATCTGCATTGCATAAGGTTCATTAAACCCTGTGCTGCATGTGAGCTGATGAGAATCAAAGTACACGGCGGTTTGATTGCAATCAGTGATTTGTCGAGATTTTTTTTTTTTGAATGCTTTGAACAGACAATCAAGCTACACCGCAGCCAGTTGTGTTCACACATGAAGGATTAAAAAAAAAAAAAAAAGCCTGTCCCCCGGGAATTCATTCATTCAACACAACCGAAGTTTTTGCTTCTTCCACAAAGGCAGTTGATCGTTATTGATTTGGGGCCGTGGCATTGAATTACATTTCTCAATCTAATTTCAGTTGAGTTCATTTTTTTCACAGGAAGTCTCATTCAAATGAGGAAACAAAGGATTCGGCGGTTCTTTTTAGGTCTGAGAAAATATCCCGAAGCCCACTGGATTGTTTTTCACTCTGTTATCACGATGCACTCCATTGTGGCATGATGTGATGTTGTAACTAGTGTTTCCTTTCCAAGCTTTGCCATTTATTGGATCAACTTTATTGTGCTGTACATACTCATTGATCATGTAAACTGAGATGTGCGCAGAAACAGAGTCCAAAATGGATTAAAAAAAAAAAAAGATTGTACTTTCATCGTCACCATACAAAACAAGAATAACCACAGTGTGAATCCTGTGTTATTGTGTGTGTTCATGCACACTTGTGTTTATCATATCTGATATTTCTATATTTACGTAAATATGACACCTTCATTTGTCTTTGTCCTCAGCTCGTCTCTGCTCTGTGGAACAGCAGCTATGACTTGTACTGCCAGGACACAAACAGTGCACCGGAAGTGGATAATAAGGTGAGTCAGTCATACTGTACTCGCAATGTGCCAGTTCTCCGTGTGTCCCCCACCCCCTTCCCCTCATTCTTAATGACACCAACAGAAACATGATCTGGTGAGGGAGCGCCACCAAAATCTTTTGGGGGAAAAATTGGTCTCTATAAGTGAGTCAAGTCAAACCACCGTCATGAGTGACAATCAAGTACCTACAAATTTAAACCGATGTCAATACCTCGTTATTGTTTTCAGCAATGTCGTTGCTTTTCCTTTCTTTTGTGACTCACCTAAACATCCCGGCACTATCAACATGCTGATTTGCGTTTGTCCGCAGGTCATGAATGCGCTGTGGTGGTACTACTTCTCCAAGTTCATTGAGTTCATGGACACCGTCTTCTTCATTCTGCGAAAGAACAATCACCAGCTCACCTTTCTTCACGTCTATCACCACGTCAGCATGCTCAACATCTGGTGGTTTGTCCTCAACTGGCTCCCATGTGGTCACTGTGAGTGATGGCAATCCACGTTACTGTGTAATAGCATAACTTTTGACTTTTTCTCCAGGCTGAATCGAGGTAAGAAGTGTCGAAAACTGATGGATGCGGATACTGCTTAGAACACAGCATCGATCCAACAGAATGAAATATCCGTGTTGAGGCTGTCCGATGAAAGCTGATAGGCCCCCGTTTCGGCTGATGTCATAAGGCTTCAATTCCGACATAACTTGTCGACTGTACAGCTCTCTCAATAACAGCACTTAGTTAGCGTTTAATCCAATTGCTCTGATTTGTACACTGTACCTACGCAGCTGTGTCTTCAAAAAAAAAAGAAGGCAAAATTGAATTAGTTATTCGCATGTGCCTTCCAGCCTACTTCGGGCCTACCCTCAACAGTTTCGTCCATGTGGTCATGTACTCGTACTACGGCCTGTCCGCCATCCCCGCCGTGCGGCCGTACCTCTGGTGGAAAAAGTACATCACGCAGCTCCAGCTGGTAAACTCACTTCTGCTCAACGTGGAAGGAAAAAAGACATTTGAGCATCCATTAAAGATATTTTGGGCTTCGGATCGATATTGTCTTTCTCGTCACCTTCTAACGGAAGTGTGTTTGTGCGTGTACATGTGTGTGTCGTGTTTCCCTGCAGATCCAGTTCTTCTTAACAGTGTTGCAGACCATGGGTGCCATCATCTGGCCATGTGGTGTGCCCATCGGTTGGCTCTACTTCCAAATCCTTTACATGATCACCCTTACCGTCTTCTTCTCCAACTTCTACATTCAGGTCACTTTTGTCTGATATCTTTATTCAAAAATACATTGACATTATTAGCTGGATTTTTCCCGCCTATTGTCAAAATACAAGTGTTTACCTTTTTTTTTTTTTTTTTAAATCAGAGAGGTAAGTCAACTTTTCTAAATGAAATACTTCTTAGCCGATTGTGAATCTGCCCTTGTTTTCCTTGTAGCACCTCAGGTTTTTATACTACTAATAATATGTAATCAAGTAATATTGTTAATATTTCTAAATGAACGATTTTTTTTCCTGAAACGTCTGAGCTCGAAATTATATGGCATGGTCAAATCTGCAATGCATACGCTTTGAAGGCCAAATGTAAAAACAAAAAGTGAATTTCTTAACCTGATTTGCTGTTAAAAAAAAGATTTTTTTTTTGATCAGCATCAAAACATTTTAGTTACACTTAGATCCCAACCGTGAATTTAACTTACACCCACCTCTGAAAAAGCTGTTCCTAAACAAAACAATAACCAGAAATTTTAGACTTTAAACCCTGTTCTTAAAACGTAATCCAAATCCAAATCTTAAAATATGAAATTGTATTCCTTAATGTTTCTTTTAAACCTGAAACACTAACGCTACCCTGCAACCTTAAACGCTAAACCTAACGCTACCTGAACCAAAACGCTAATCCAAAACCCAAACATGAAACCATTACCTGAAATTCTCACCCTATTCCAAAACCTAAATTCTAACACAAAATGCTAAAACAAAACCCTTTCATTCTTCTGTTTAAATCTTTTGCAAATAAGTCTCTTACGTCGGCCTTGTAACGATCATCTTGTTCTTCTCTTCGCCCTTCATCACAGACATACAAGAAGGACAAGAGGGAGGAGCTAAAAAACAGCACTTCCCTGTCTACCAACGGACACTCGAAAAGGAACGCGGCGCTCAAAACAAAGATGAACTGAGGCTGGATGAACATTGGCGACTCTCGGCCTTGCCCCTGTTGACACTGATAGCTTGTCGGCCAATGCTGCTAAGAGACAAAAAGTAAAGTCAAGTCGGCCAAGGTCTACAACCTTCCTTGTCTTTGCTTGTTGAATTTAAACTGACCGACTCGGCAGACTTTCCATGCATACTGTGAGTGTGCTGTAAATTTGAAGCACGCAGCGTTTCGGAGCGTCCTTGACATGTAACCAGAGAGCGCTTCTTGCGTCCTGCCTGTGCTGTTGTGTAATCTCTAAATACTGTACTGGATGTCCTTTGCAGAGCCCGGCCAGGACAGCGCAAGATGCTTCTCGTCAAATAGTTACACAGTAGACACACTGATATGAAACATTAACCAAATCCCCTAGCACTCATTTTTAATGCGTTATTCAGCAAAAAGGGGGCTGTATGTATTTAATTTATTATGGGCACAATCACACTGCATACACCACTTTGATAGACTTTTTTTTTTTCATAGATGCGGTGCCTTCATGGACCTGTTTATTTGGTTGCTAATGCTAACGTCACCACAGTGATGCTGGTTCACTCTGTGCCTGACTTGACTGCTTGTGTTTTGACATCATCAGCAATGGAGAGGAATCAATGACATTATTAAAGAATTGTTTTCAGTAGACGTGGTGACGTTTATTCCACTTTATGCAGACGAAGTGCGCTTCTTTATAATGACAACACAAGCAGACAGACGCTCGTTTCATCCCACACAGGAAGTCTCACCCACGACGATGTCATACTTGTCATTATAGAGTAGAAAATCTGACTGATGCATTTCCTGTTAGTGCAGTGCATTGGAGTATAAAGAAGGGGATGGGGGGGACGCACGCACAATGCTCTGATGTTTAAATTGCGCATTATTCTGAATAAACGTTCCTCTGGCACTTCACGGGTGGTTGTTAACCTCGTGAATCAAATGTTGCATGTCTTTTGAGATGACTTTTCATTGATAAACTCAAGGAACCAATGTCAGATTTATCATTTAGTTGCATTTGTGTTGGAATGCCATTATACAGAGAGACATTATGTGCTCACATGCAAAAGACAGTCCAGTCCGTTCATGTCTCATCCAGACTGGGGTGACATGACATGAGAGATCAATAACAGGAACACTGGTGCACACGCCAGCATTAACCTCGCAGTACAATGTCAGCAATGACTCTTAGGCTTTTAAAATGCAATTTTTGTCAGGATTTGGAACATTATTATAGACATGTGGTCACAACTCTGCACCTACATTCAAGAGGCTTGAAATAATTGAAGCTCAATTTAAAACCGCTTCTTCCCTCCCCTCTCTATAAATCCTGTTTGATCCGTCCATGTTCGTTCTCAGGAAAAAAAAAGGGATTATAATAACAGCTGACGTGTCTCGTGTTCATATTTGATAACACTGCGATAGGACGTACAATGTGTACGAGGCATGATTAGAACATGCTGTCAAATGAAACAATTGAAACAATCATGTCATCACTTTATTTGAAGGAGAAAAGTGCACCGTGAGACAAAACCAGTATGAACATTCATTGGCGGGAACATGTGAACTGGAGCTGCTCATTACGTAGTGCTCAACCACTAAGCAACATTACTGAAAATCACAAGAATAATTTGAGTTATTGTCACGTGAAGGCGTGTTTAGTTTTGACGTTGCTTTTTTAAGTGACGCATGAACCGGTGGTCTTTGTAGGCGATCGTGCGGGTTTCTTAGAGTGGCTGATCTGAGAATGCGGTGTAACTCTTGACGCGTCCGAAGATGAAAGGCGTGTACATCTTGTTAAGGTCAAAAGCGCTGATAACAGTTTCTCCAGTCAGTCTAAAAAAAGAATGTTGAAAATGTATTTTTAAACGTTCCTTTTTTTTGTAGGGCTTCAATATTCTGGGATTTAAAATAAATAAATCTGTGAAACATGTCATGCTTTTTAATTGATATATTGTCCATGGGCGTCTGGATCAGACAAAACGTTTATATTCATGCTTGAATGACACTTTCCATTCATCCTTCAAATTTGTAATATTTCCCAAATCGCTCATCTTAACGTCCCATGGTAATTTACCCAAAATGTTCCACCACCTTGCAACAACCCAACTTGTGTGTGACAGGTCTTACTTGTAAGTGATGTGGCAGGAATGGTGGATCCACGCCAGCTTATTGAAACTCTGGCGCCCCCCAGAGGACAGAAGAAGTCCCACGTGAAAAGTGTGCTCGGCCTCCGGGGCGGGGTTCCGCCTGCAGAACCGATTCTTTTGCATCTCGGACGATTTCTGGACACAGGTAGACACACACACACAAGGACAAATGATTTAATTCATCAACATGTTACAAAAAATATTTTCAGTTTACTTTGTCAAATTAAAACAAACGTAACATTTCATTCAAGAACTAAAATCCTCGAAGCCACAAAATACTCTCACCTCCTCCTTTCTCTTGCGGACGACAGCGTAAACTTTGGTTTGGTTGTCCGTCTCCTGGGACAGACGGAAGTGGCCGAACTTGACGGCGTCCATTCTGCAGAAGCAACACAGATGCCTCTTGAAATAATGACACTCGGCTTTCACTGACTGAGATGCTTGCCATGTTTCCCACTCAGAGCTCTGAAGATGGTAAAAATTCCTCCCGGGTGAAGGATAAAACTTGCTACAACCTGGCCTCACCTGACGTTTTGAGTGCGTAAGCGAGGGACAATCGAGAGAGGCTCCTCAGGTGTGGTCAGCATGAGCACGGTGCCATCAGGGAAAAAGCGCAGGTACCTGACAACACACATAAACAAGCACAATATATATTGACCTACGAGTTGACAAGAGCAAAAATAGTAAGCGTGTGTGTGTGTGTGTGTCCCAAATCAACCTGTAGAAGTCGACCACCTGACGTTTTGAGTGCGTAAGCGAGGGACAATCGAGAGAGGCTCCTCAGGTGTGGTCAGCATGAGCACGGTGCCATCAGGGAAAAAGCGCAGGTACCTGACAACACACATAAACAAGCACAATATATATTGACCTACGAGTTGACAAGAGCAAAAATAGTAAGTGTGTGTGTGTGTGTGTCCCAAATCAACCTGTAGAAGTCGACATGGTGCCAAGGCCGGTAGAAGCCGTCCAGAGATTGTTCTCCCTGACGAATGTACGACGTCCTGCTGATGTAGACACCTGCTCGGACAATGTGAGAATTACGGGTTTTTTTCTACCTCCCATTGAAGCATTGCCACAGTGCATAAATACTGTACCATCGAAACGGACACGAGGCCTCTGCAAGAACATCTCTCTCCAAGACAGGAAGTGTCCCAACTTGGTGCAGTTCCGTCCCCACACTCTTTGACAGGCCGAACGCCAAATCTCCGGATCCCTGCCATACTCATGAAAAGGGAACCATCAAGGAGTGTGTGCGAAGGAGGCAGTTATTCTCAAACTGACATCCTCTGGCTCCCTCTCGTGGTACGTGAAAAAAAAATCACTGTATTAGAGTGACTTAAACATGTTTTAATGCAGTACACTACATTTGCTAAGCACAGATCAGTCGTATTTACCCTTTGAACAACACAATTGAATTTCACCTTTCAAAACCGAACACTTATTAAAGGCATTATTTAAAATTTAATTTGTTTAAAAAAATGTTTGAGTAAAATGTTATTTCTATATCTAAGCGAAGTGTTAATGTCATACTTTGCATCGTGTTAGAGTGGCTTCCAATCTTAAAAGTGTATAACTTATAAGGAGCCTCTGCTGCATTTTAAATACACTTGGGCCTCCTACGGTCCTGTCTTTTAACCTTGGTCATCATGGTGGTACGTGGTGCAAAACGTTTGACAAGCACTGCAATACAGTATGTGCATGCACGCCATTAGTCAAATCGTAACCATGATCAAAATATCGGCGCATAGTTTGTAGTAAGCATGAGCATGTAGCGTCTAGGCTATCTGCACCTCCGCATTCACAATCGGCTTTTGAAGGTCGCCTTAATTTTTAACTCAACTCAACTCAACAACTCAACTGTATTTATAGAGCACTTTCAAACAGCCATCGCTGCATACAAAGTGCTGTAATTTTTAACTACTTTATTGTATAATATTTAGATGACAATAGTGGTTGACATGCTGTACTTGTGACAGTAACAGAGAATATTCAGACAGAGATTAAAGAGTGTTTCATTAATTGTAATTTCAATCTAGCAGTGCTGAAGTGTATGAAAATGGTCGAACATTACTTAAAACCTGTACAGATTTTATGATGTTGACAGTTTTTTTTTTTTTTTTTTTTAACCAACATGATAGCGTACAGTGTAAGCGGTGCTGACCTTGCACAAATGTAAAAGCCGCGGCACACCAATGACAGCTGCTCCAGGGCTCGCATGTCCAGGTCGCGCGACACGACCCAACGAAATATGTACATGATGATCTCCCGTGGCAAGGCTACGGTCATGTAGGAACACATCACCAAGTTGAGCATGGGGTGATAATCTAGGGAGAGGGAGTGGGGGCGGGGGACAATATGACATGACAAGGATGCCCGCTACCTGATAGATGCACCTGAGATTTTTCCACCTCAGGGGGGCAAATCTTGGGAAAGGAAGTTGCCAAAGTGAGCTGCTGCTCAAAGTAGGCAACCAGATCCTCAATCTCGCCATCAGCGTCCCTCTCCTCCCTGCTGCGATACAACATATGAATGAATCTGTGATAGTGAGCACTTCTCCTTTGCCGAGATAATGCAATACGGTATAGCCAGACATTTTAGAGTAACCTTTCATTGTGGGCAGGCTACGGCGCACCTGAATATTAATCATGCTGTCTAATCTGCATCTCGATATGCCACATCTGTGAGGTGGGATGGATTATCTCGACTAAGGAGAAGTGCTCAATAATATAGTGTGACAGATTTGTGGATTTCTCCATTGTGAGACAAATAAAGGTTTTCTTATCTTGTCAACAATACTGGAGAGAACTAGGCCTTTTGTGTCCATAGAAACATTTAGATCACTTGAGTTCGGCTCAAGGAAAATGAGAGTAAAAACAAAAGAGGGGCATTCATATTTTTGTATAGACTCTACTTTAACTTGGCATGAATGGCATTTTCAATATTTTCAGACCATAACAACACCAGACATTCAGTACCCTGCAAAAGTGTGGGGGAGATTTTAAAATGTACTCAATTTGGAAAGAAAAGCATTTTTGAAAGCTAAGCATTTGTTTTTTCGGTTAATTCATTCATTAAAAAGATACAGTCCAGGCATTGTTAACATGGTTGAGAAAAAAAAACAACCACTGTGCTTTTCTTGAAAAATGAATGACATTTCTAAGTGCGCTCCAAAACTGTGAATGGCAGTACACATATGCAACAGAGTTGGTGACGCCAAACTTTTGTGTGTAACCGTGTCAACAACGTCAAGCGTCTTACTAGTTTCCCTCAACTTGGTCAGCTTCAGGGTGGCTGTAGTTGATCTTTGATTCGATATCGGGCACAAGCTGCATAGCCAGGCGGTAGAACTTGATAGCTGCCACCAACAACAAAAAAGTTCTTATAATAAAATATAGATATAAATGTCACCTGTCTGCTTCACAGTGGTTTGGGGTTCAAACACCTCTTTGCGGTTTCGGACTTAAACTGACTCACCTTCATAGAACGCTCCATTCTGCTCTTCCTGAACAGCTCTCAAGTACAGCTCTGCAGCCTGACAGGAGGAATTGTTCAAAAACACTCACTCAACACAACAGGTCCAGTCAAATATGGTAGGGACGTACCTCTTCCTCCCGAGCAATTTCTTGCGCCCTCCTCTGACTTGAGGCTCGCAGCAGCCTCGTGTCGCAGCTTGGTTTGAGTTCGGACATCCACTTAGCTCGGAAAGCATTGAGCTGCAACTGCAGTTGAATCATTACATGTTAGGCATCTGCTAATGGTGAACATTTTCGGGCTACTTATCCATTTTTAAGCAATACATTATACATGACGTTAAAGTGGAATGAGTGTCACCCCAAACAATGTAGGAACGGTGGTTTATGCTGAGCAAGGCTATTTATTTTACCTCAAGATTTGGGTCGTCAGAACCCTCATCTTCCTCCTCCAGCGTGCCACCAACATCCACATTTTCTTCAGCCTAGTAAAAGTGGACAAACATTAACCAAAGACTTTTATCACCGTGACCCTAAAGCTGATAACAGAACAAATTTGGACAAACAACCATTTGACTGTCTACTTTAAACCAGTGATTCCCAACCAGGGTGTCAATTACCCGATTTCCCTGAATTCACCTGCAAATTATTTATTCATTAGAACTATATATTTGTTGATCTAGCAATGCCAATGATGTACAGTGACAGGCAGAACAACTAAATGGTCGTCCATAAGATGGTAGAAGGTGCAGTTGTCGATTAATATGATAATCGGTTCGTTGTGGATTCATTTTGACCAATCCTGTATCCACTCCCCACCATTCATACAACAGAGTGTCATGTCAAGTCATGGCTTCCAGCGCGTGAGCATATCAGCTTTGTGTTCAACTAAAGACGACAATTTTACACTAATTGACATTATTGTTTGGTAGTGTGTCATATTTATTTTTTGTCATGTAAATTGTGTGACTTGGCCCGAGAAGTACTGGTCCAAACACTTAACATCCTACTTTACCCTTACGATTCATTTATTGTCGACAGTATATTTAGAAAAGTCTTGACCTATAATTGACATGTTATATACATACTAATTGTGCATGATTTACGCCACGATATAGTCTTTATTTAATGGGTAATTTCTTTCATTACATTAATATAATATCCACAACATATTGCTCTAGTGTATGTCGTCATGTGCCATATCTATAATTTTATAGGTACAGCATACATTGAGCAGCTCGTTAACTTTCACAACTAACCAATAGTGATCCTGAGCGTTATATGAATCATCTTGATCAGTTTACTGCCCTGTTTTCTCCAAACCCACTCGAGGAGCCTCGCCTGCCATTTGGACCTCTACTGGAATCTTCCGTTCTGCTGCCAAGCCGATCGGCTATCAGCGGGTGACTACTCATACTCAGTGTTGTTACCCAGGAGTTATATTAAAGCGCCCTTGGATGCCCTGAAAGGCGCTGCACAAATCTTGAGCTTCTATCATGAGTACGATGATGATTGTTATTATTATTATGAGGTTCACTAAATAGAAAAAGAAGAAAAAAATGAATTCAAATCGAACCAGTAACCTCGATTCATCCTTTATGCATTACCATGCTATGGTTGATTGACAATCGACACAGACGTCATGGGGGAGGAGAAAAACGCTATTTTCAGCGGGCACGTTGGTATTTTTGTTGATCATGTTGTGACAGTAAGTTAAAAAAACACTAAAGCAATTGTGCTATTAGGCCAATGATACTGGACTTGGTAAGTTGGTATTTAAATGTGTTCAAATTAAACACTGCGAAATACGTTCCAGTATTTGACAATTTAACTAGTTAATCGCTTGTGGACATGAATGTTACTTGCAGACAAGTGACGACAGACGTGTTGGCTGAAGTTAGCTAAGTGCTAGCTAAACGACTAGCTTGCTAATGGCGAACACGCGCGGTGACATACCATAACAACTTGTCCAAGAAAGTCCTTTTAGTAAGCACGTGTCTTCACCAACGTTCGGCAAGGCGTTTACAGGTCACGGTCGGAGAAACGGACCACACAACGAACATATTTACGAGCTCGCAAGAACGCAGCCATTTCGATGGAAGGTCCGAGCTGAGCCTGGAGACTTGAGAGTCAAGTAATCCGGAAGTCGCGCACCTGTATGCCTTATTTGGCTTGTCACTGTTTAGATTTGTACATGTCAACCTTACGAAATGAAGCCAAGTGGGTTATTTTACGACAAAAAAAATCTTAACACCTCCAGTGACCTCGGGTCAACGTTAATGTTTTCCTCACGCTTTTCGAATGAATTGTGCAACCGACACTTCCTTTCATAACTTTGTTGCTGTGAATTGGGAATTTCTCCATTGCGAGACTAATAAAGGTTTTCTTCTTTCTTCTTATTTACAACTGATAATTTACACTCTCAACCATGGTAGTAGTTAAAATAATACCTTTGTGGTAAGAACATTTTCATCAACGCGAATTTTATTATGAGATTCGGGGGATATCCTTTCTGCCTGGGTAAACAGAAAAAAAACGATTTTTTTTAAATTAACCAGACACTCAAAATAGTTCACACCCACTAATTTCCGCATATGTGACATTACTCAAAAGTCCCGCCCTATTACACGCATTTGTATTTCACGTTTTCGAACCGACGAGTTGTTACTGTATACAGTATTTAATCACTGCATCATATTCCAACTTCTGATTTAAATGGGTCTTCACATGAACTTTAGATTTAAGAGTTTCTCGCTGTAATTCTTCTGCCTTCATATTTACATGCCTTCATACTACATTTTAAAGGCTGAACATACATTTAATAGTTTGTTGTAAAAAACACTCAAGTCTAACACATCGTGACGAGGAAGATTACTACTAAATTCAACATCGTGTCTTTGGTATCAATGACGAGCTGTGATTTGTTGTGAAGGTGCAGCAAATATCGCATTCAAACATCGCGAGATTTGGGTGAATCCGCTCCCAGTGAGATAGGGCCTGGTTTTGATTGCATTTATATTGTGTGGAGAACACACAGGAGATGGAGATGTTCATAGCCAACCCGTAAAGGTGTCATTTTGCTACAATTTGTTGCTCATGTTTGACTATGTGCTCTTGTGGAAGTGAGGCGAGGAAGGTGAGAATTGTTTTGCTGTTTTAATTTTAACACCGCTCGAGGGTCGGTTTGGTTCTGTTGCATACAGTAGCGCTGTTTGTTTTCTGTCCAGTGGACCGTAGTCGACCACTTCGTGTGTCCCAATTTGCTTCACAAAACTAGGACCGTTCATCCAAAACGTAACACAAATGACATGTTTGGGGGAAAAAAACAAGCGACGACGAATACATTCACGGAATTTGCATTATTGTGCTAACTCTATGTTTGCTAGCTTTAGATGACACATGTTTAAACATTATTGTTATAAATAGAATGTGTGTACGCTTGTTCGCAACGCTCCCGTTACTCTTGGCCAAGTACCGGACATGCGCCACATGACGCTGAAACGGCGCTACATTACATTAAGTGAAGTGACCCAACTCCCCTCTGCAACCGATTTAGTTGAATCTGGACATCGTAATCCCCTCGAAGGGAGGATTTGATGTAAAGCTCTTATGATGAATTGAACAATGAAGTGACAAAACAGTAGCATTGTATTCATGTGTGGTTCCATCCATGCATTATCCAAATTGCTTATCCTCACGAGGGTCTCGGACCTGCTGAAGCCTATCCCAGCTGTCTTTGGGCAGTTGGCGGGGTACACCCTGAACTGGTCGCCAGCCAATCGCAGGCACACATAGACAAGGAACACCATGCACACACACAACCACACTAAGGGACAATATAGGGTGTTCAATTAACCTACTATGCATGTTTTTGGAATGGGGGAGGAAACTGGAGAACATTATGTTTAGTTACACAGGACGGCCGGAGCCACTATTCAAACGCTTGACCTCTGTACTGTGAGGCGGACGTGCTAACCAGTCGTCCACTGTGCCGCCATGTGTGTTTCTATTGTAGCTTAGTCCATGTCATGCTTGTATACAGGATGGGGCAAAAGTCAGTACTATAGGGGATGGATGGCACAGAAGAGGTCAGAAAGTATGGTGGGGAAAAAAGGAAGGCAGAAACGTTGGTTTCAACCAAGTAAGGATACAAATTAGAGATGAGAGCATTATAAAGCTTCTCTAAAGGAAGGAGATGTTCTGGAAATAAGCAATGAGGTCAGGTGGTAAGCAATGCCAAAAAAACAAAACAAAAAAAAACATAAATGTAATACAATGAAAAAAGTTTAAAATGTAGTCCGTAATTGTGATTTCACACAGTATGCTAATAATCATTTTCCTATGCTTCCCCCACCCCAGCCGGGAGGAGTCAAGCGCATGACACAATGAGTCCTCCAGCTCTACCTGTGGACTTGCGGTGTTGTCACAGGTCCTTTGGCTGCATTCAGCAGCAGCAGGCAAGCAAATCTCAGCTCCCAACCCAATTGACCTCTTCCCCAGGGTGAGGGTATGGACAGACGAGCACAATGAACAGATACAGCACCCTCAAACAACTCGGGGACGGCACATATGGCTCGGTCATCCTCGGACGCAACCTGGAGTCCGGAGAGCTTGTGGCCATTAAGAAGTGAGTGTGTGTGTGGTTTGTTTAAACTTGAACTGTGGACTGCGTTGTCTAACTGTAAAGTGAACTCAAATAATGCTTGGCAACGAGAGAATCAATGAGAATATCTTGGTAACCTGAAGTATATTTTGCATTTAGAATGAAAAGAAAGTTCTACTCGTGGGAAGAATGCATGAATCTCCGTGAAGTTAAGGTCGGTAATGCTGTCTGTTGCACAGTTCCACGTTTTTCCATGATTTGCGCAACACAAATACAATTCAGAGGAAGAGCAAAGGAAAAGAATTGCATTGTGTTTTTGCACTGACTGTATTTTCACGACCAGAGGGCGCACCGTATTGAGAGGTCCGGTGTCAGTTACGGATGCTATTTCTGTATTTAACACATACACAAGATGCACTGTGTTAATGGAAGCAGGCGTGATAAAACGTACGCCACATTAAACCCCCACCGTCAGCTTTTGAGACATCTTGTTTCAGGCAGTCTGCGTGTGTTGGTAAAGGTGTCTACCACAACACATGGTGGTAGACGCCCCCAGATAATCACTTCAGTGGCACCACGTTATTTTTCTCCTGAGGTGAAAAGCCAGGTCTGGCATTTATTTATTCAAGTGGACCCTTTTGTCTGTATTTGAGAAGTGAACTATACATTGACGGACGCTGGAGTGATGTGAAACACTCAGTTTGTTGTGCTTTCTTTTCACACTCAGACAGAATGTTACACTCAACCCACAGCGGCTCTTAAGAGTCAAAGGTGATTCTCGTGTGTTATTGTTAGCTCTTTCCCCACCACCTTGAACTTATGGACCCCGTTTCTGAGAGCTTGACTTTTTAAAGCTGTTGGAGATTTATCCGGCTCAAAACTACTACAGCATGTCAAGGCATCAAAAGTAAAAATCCCAGTATGGCCTCCTCACTAAAATGTAGCATGATGAAACCTGAATCATCCCTGTGCATCCTGCCTTGTGTTAACAGTTTTACCTTGTTTTTAATTGCACGTCCGTATGTACGTAATTTGATGCTGAAAGACTTGTCTTTTCATTTCAGTCCTTAAAGAAGCTCAACCATGCTAACGTGATTAAGCTGAAGGAGGTCATCAGGGAGAATGACCACTTGTACTTTATTTTTGAGTACATGAAAGAAAACCTGTATCAGCTAATGAAAGACAGGTACTGTATGCCAACAGCATTTGGAAATCCTCACTTCTCTACATTTAGTGGGATTTTTTTTTCTTCCTTCTTCTTGCTTCAGGACTCGGTTGTTCCCAGAGTCTGCTGTTCGAAATATCATGTTTCAGATCCTCCAGGGCCTTGCATTCATTCATAAACATGGTTTGTTACACCACAGAACTTTTGAAATACTCAGTTAACCCATGTAACTAGATACGGTAATCGGGCATCTCTTTTAGGATTTTTTCACAGAGACATGAAGCCTGAGAATCTTCTGTGCATGGGCCCAGAGTTGGTGAAGATAGCTGATTTTGGCCTCGCCCGTGAAATAAGATCTCGACCACCGTACACAGACTACGTGTCAACCAGATGGCAAGTGAATATTGTCTTGAAGATTCATGCATTACTCACTGGCAAATTAGGTGGCTCCGGTCTGTGCTCCTTCTTAAAAAGAGGGATCCACCACCCCGGTCTGCCAATCCAGAGGCACAGTCCCCGATGTCCAGAGTGTACCCTGCCTCTTGCCCAAAGTCAGCTAGGATATGTTCCAGCTCACCCTGAGGAAGACAAGCAGTTAAAACAAACAGACAAACTAAAAAACAAAAAAAATCAATCCAACCAGTATATAGGGAATTAAGAATGTATTTCTGGACAGGTACCGAGCACCGGAGGTCCTCCTCAGATCCATATCCTACAGTTCCCCCATAGACCAATGGGCGGTGGGCTGCATCATGGCGGAGCTTTATACCCTCAGGCCTTTATTCCCGGGCTCCAGTGAGGTGGACACCATATTCAAGATTTGCCAAGTTTTGGGTACACCAAAGAAGGTAACCTTTTCAGTGTGCGAGCAGGATCTAATTAAAGTGTAGCTGAAATGAAATTCAGTTTTAATTTGATCACAAATATGAGTGTAACATGGAGGTCTTCATCTTTTTCCATCTAGAATGATTGGTCGGAGGGATTCCAGCTAGCCAATGCCATGTATTTCCGATGGCCTCAGTGTGTTCCCAGTAATCTGAAGACACTGATTCCGAATGCCAGTCCTGAGGCCATCCACCTGATGACTGACCTGCTTCAATGGGACCCCAAGAAAAGACCAACTTCTGCTCAGGTAAAGCCCTGATGGAAATCACTGATGGAAATTATATTTGTGTTCAATTCTGGCAGACGAGTGTATATACAAATGTACAGATTGAAACTTGAAACTTGCTCTTAAAACAAAAGAAAAATCAATAATTTAATTAAGAGAAACGGGAAGAACAAATGCAACGCTCCCGGAACATACTGATAATGCACACAATTTTGACATCTTCTGTAGGTGTTGTATTGTGGGCTCAAACAGGTTGTTGGTATTTCTATTAATTTCAATGGGGAACGATGATTTGAGATACAAAAATTGCTTTTGTACTGTATCGTCATTTTATTTCCAAGGCAAAAATATTGACTTGTACGATATCGTGTGCAGGCTCTCAGGTACTCGTACTTCCACGTGGGCCAGGCTTTGGGCACCCCTCAGCAGATCCTGGAGCAGGGCAGACCCCAGTCTCATCCGTTCCCCCCGCCGCCACCATTATTACAGTCCCAACAGACTCCACAGCAGCAACCGTTACATCTGAGGCCTGTGCCTCCCTCTCAGCCACCGCCAGCGCACAACCAACACTGCACCCCCTCCAGGCCTGTGCAGCAGCTCCAGCCCTCCCCAGCCCCACCAGCGGCATACCAACGGCACATGGAGCTGGTTCGAGAGCAGCAACCGAAGCACCTTCTCAAGCAGGAACCCAGAGAAGGAACACCACAGATTCATTTACCTTACATTCTTGACAAGAGTAAGGTGAGACTCTCCACAGTCACATTTCAGACCCAGGCTCCATATTTTCTACTTGTGCCACTACATATATTTGCAATGTTTCCCTATATTTTTACACAGATACAAATGTCTCTGTCCCATTCAATTTTATTTTTATATTCACAGACGAGGCAGGAAAGTGACAACACAAACCCACTAACCTATCAGATGAAAGCGAAGGGCGGGCGTCGCCGCTGGGGTCACAGCACAGGACACCTTAAAGAGGACGAGTGGGACGACTACGAAGACACTGAATTGACGCCATCGAGTATTCTGGGAAAAAGCAACTCCTCTAAAGACAAGTCCAGACAGGCAGATGAACCACTTAGAAGGTGAGACGATTGATTCACAAAGCTAATGTTTTTTTTCTCTTCGTTTTTCAGATTTTTGGTTTAACTCTAAATCATACCACTTTAAGGCATTCAGCTTTGCAGGTTCCACTTTGCGTACCTCATGTGTAGTCCTACATGATGCTGAGCTCGACTGAATAGATATGTTGCATGATTAAAGGAATACATTCCCCAATGCGCGTCCTGTGCCCCTCAGATATAGCGACATTCTGGACTTCAGTCACCCTAACGGCAAAGAAGAAGCACCTTTAAACCTCAACAAAGCTTCGGGCTACCAGGAATCGGCAAGGACTGCGTCTGCCAAACAACACTACCTGAGGCAGTCTCGATATTTACCAGGTATCACTTTATAAATGCAATGCCATTAGGTTTATGTTTTTAAAATCTTTCTCCATGTCCCTCAGGTATCACCACAAAGAAAAATGTGGCCATAAATGTGAATAAAGACATGTCCGGAAGCCATCTGTGGGGCAACAGCAGTATACCATTTGGTGGTACACTACCAAGCAGAGGTCTTCATGGTAATCTCACTGTAATCATTGCATCGGCTGACACCATTTGTCGCATTCAAATGTATGTAAAATGAGAACAAAAGTCATTACATCATACGCTCTCCCACTTATCCGTACCGTATCGAATTGAATCAAACTGAATTGAATTGTTTCACTCTCAAATCAAACCTTCCTTAAATCATTTCACACCCCACGTATTGAAAACCGTGTAGAATTGTCTTTTTTGGAGAGATGCAAACCCCTGATTTCTTTACAAGTAAATACAAAAAAACAGTTTCCTAAATGTAGTGGACAATTATTTGAATATAACACGTCATAAAGCTATGAATGAATACTTTTTACTTTGCCCCATCTCTTAAAATTTAGTGCAGTTGTACTTGAGAGTTTGATATTTGTACTACTGAAAAATGAAAACAACCAAAGCTGGGATTTGTTTTGAATGTTGTTTTGTCATTGTAATTCTTAAATATTCCAACTAATTACAGTCAGTCAATTAAGTATATTTTGTTTATTGTATTTGCTGCCTTTTTTTGGGCTTGAAAAGGCACAAATACAATTCCAGCTGGAAGCTTGCCAAGATTTTACACAAAAGATGTCGGTTCTGCTGGTCACAGAGGTCATCAGGGTCCTTCTTTGGAATCAACAGCATCAAGTTAGGATTCTTCATTATTATTATTATTTATTTTAATATGTTTTATTGTTGCATTAATTGCATGTCCATTTTTTTTTTTTTTTTTTTTTTAGATTATGCAACATGGCGATCCACTCGGAGCCAGAGGACCCCCTCCACCAATGTGGCCCACAAAAGCCCCCCTTGTCTGTTACCACGTGTACCAGTACAGAGCATCCACGGGCGAATCGACTGGTCTGCCAAATATGGACACCGCTAGTGGCCTGGAAGACACTCTTTAATTTACCTCCCAAAGAGTAATCAAAGGCTGTACATACATCTTAACAGCAATAATGTTTGCTTCACTACACATACCATGGATGTGTGTGTGTGTGTGTGTGTGTGTGTGTGTGTGTGTGTGTGTGTGTGTGTGTGTGTGTGTGTGTGTGTGTGTGGTTACATGCCACCTCCCCCTTCCCCCCCAAAAAACCAAGAAAGAAAAATTGCACCTCTGTAATATAATTATTTACTCTCCTTTCTGGCTGTTGTTACATATTATGTTTTATATGAATTATTATCGGACCTGTTTACCAACATGTAAAAATGAAATGCATATTATGGGGGCACTGTGAGTTGTTTACAAACAATGGATTACTTTGCTACTGTATATTACTTTCTATAAATATGTGGCTACTGTATATTACTTTCTATAAATAAGTTGCTATTTTTTTACTTTGATGCTGATGTACTGTTTGCATGGTTTTTTTTCTTCAAATAAAGTCATGGCAGTGATTTAGCTTTCCACTCGTGTTACATTGTTGTGATGCAGTATACCATTACTGAACATTCAATGGACATGTTTTTCAAATTACATTTTGGCATGTACCCAATGAAAACCAATGGTGGCAAATATTGGTTTCAAAAGTTGAGCCCTCAATTCATCTATGACATTAATGTTGCTCATTCGTTTTGTATTTGTTTTAACATGCATGATTTATTTCACATTCTTTTCTATTTACTCACTTAAGCATTTTTTAAAATCTATACTGTCGTTTAAGAAACCAAAATAAGCAACAAATGAGTTAATTTTAGTAATCATCTTACTAAAGATGTCACTTTTGTGTTACATGAAGAGCCACGATGTTCAGTATTTAGTTTCACAGAGGGGTTAAGAAAAGGAAGGCAGACTGCCACATGCAGCGCCGCAATTGGATGTGTCTGAAGCTTGGAGCTTGACTTCCCTACGTTTCTCCTACAAATGGGCCTTGAGCTTGTTTGGAGGTTCTAGCAGGGGAGCGCAGCTACTGGTATACCGATGAGTAGTCGTCCGTCGGGGGGACGTCGTCCGCTGCCACCGAGCGCTGAGCTTCGGGAGGGACACACATGGAACGGTGAGGGAGGAAGGGGACACCCGCCTAGCCAGCCAGATCAGCCGAATCAACCCTAGCGATCAATGGGGTGACAGATGTCGCAGCCAGATCGCCCTCACATCCATGTATTTGACAGGAAGCCATAGCTACATATAGCCCACTTGAACTGGAAGTCTCACGGTTACGGTGTGGATTCATTTTCGCGTTTCTGTTGTAATTACCACCTAACATCAGAAAAATACACGTTTTATTCTTAACGTGTGTCGATAGACCGCGATCGACACACGTTTTATTCTTCACGTGTGTCGATAGACCGCGATCGACTTAAAAATACAGAGCAGTAAGCCAGGGAAACCAATTTCCCAGCATGCTTAGGGGAAAATGAAATATGCTAATCTCAAGCCTTTCTATTGGTTAGCCTCTGCCAATAACATTCGACTGGTTGAAACACGCCTCACGTCTTCCCTTACAAATGGAACTTGAAATAGCAAAATCCGCCCACTCTTCATCCAGAACATTGAGGAGGTGACGCATGTAAGTATGGGAAATAATGTTAAACGTCGTATTTTTAGTTGTGAAAATTGTTCTTTTTTTTCCCATCCTGATATTTCTTTTCAACTTTTCAGACCAACAACCATGAGTGAAAGGGTAAAGCTGCACTATTTCAATGGGAGAGGGAAAATGGAGTCAATCCGCTGGCTGCTCACTGTTGCAGGAGTGGAGGTGAGTGAGTCTTAGTGGCAAAGCTACCACATCAATAGGCTGTATATCACTGCCAATCATGCCAATGAACACTACTTATTTTAATATCACAATCCATGCAGCATATTATCTCATTATACTCTGAAATTAAAGTACAGTGAAAAATAATTGAAGGTACCAATCTGATAATAACAAACACAGAGCAGCTGAGTACATTGGTGCCACTCTTTCTATCCATACATCCATTTTCTAATCCGCATATCGTCACAAGGGTCGCAGGCTCGCAGGCGTGCTGGAAGCTGGGGCAGTAAGCGGGGACACCCTGAACTGGTTGCCAGCCAATCGCAGGGCACACATAGACGAACAAACATTTACGCTCACATTCACACTTAGGGACAAGTTAAGAGTGTTCCATTAACCTGCCATGCATGTTTTTGGAATGTGGGAGGAAACCAGAGTACCCGGAGAAAACCCACACAGGCAGGGGGAGAACATGCAAACCACACACAGGAAGGCCGGACCCAGAATCGAACCCTGCACCTTTGCACTGTGAGACGGACGTGCTAACCAGTCCTCCACCATGCCGCCATCACTCTTTTTAATCAAATAATATTGAGAAAGTTCTTCACAACACTATTACATAAGTTTCCATAAATATGTAGCACTTCACTCTTCTGTTCAGCTCATCCCAAACCATCTCGATGGGGTTTAAATCTGTAGACTTTGTGTGTCCACTCCTTTTATTCACATTTACCATTTTGGTGTAGAAGTCACTAATACCAACTTTCAAGCCCCGATTAACCTCCATTGCTGCAGAACAGCTTTGAATGCTCAACTCATCTCTTTTTTCCTGAAAAATGTATGTATGTACAGTTCTGAAATGTACATTATTTATCATTCTGGATAGTATACCACTTTCACTTGTGTCATTTCAAACTATTCATTGGACTAGAACCTCTTGATTTTCAGGAATGCACTGGAGAAATGTATGCCTTGTAAACCATTTGGCTGGTAGTACTCTATAACGTTATTAACTTTTATGCCACTTGACGTCCACAGTTTGATGAGATCCTTCTGACCACCCGAGAACAGTACGTCAAACTGCTGAATGGTGAGTTTTATTTCCCCAAAAGTGACTTCACGTGAGTGTGGGAATTGGTCACTGTGTTCTTTAAATCATGTTGATTCATCACTTGGTTAACCTCAACTAAACTAATGACTCACCTGAGATTAGCCATAGCAATGAAATGGCGCAAATGACCTTTGCACAGGTGAACTTGTTCCCAATGATTCAGTTTGTTTTACTGGGTGTGGCTCTCTCTGCAGATGGAGACCTCATGTTTCAGCAGGTCCCATTGGTGGAAATCGACGGAATGAAGCTCATTCAAACAAAGGCCATCTTGAATTACATTGCAGAAAAGTACAATCTGCATGGAAAAGACATCAAAGATCGTGTTAAGTATGAACCACAAATCAAATCATTTTGAAATAGTGGAACCTCTAATGTTTCCAACTGGGAATTTATTTTATTTCATTGGGACAGTGCACATCAATCAACACGAGAATAAACAGTGTAAATGTGCCGGATAATATCAATATTAAAAAAGAAAAAACGAATAATATAAATAATCAGTGGCTGTCATCATTAGCTGAAAAGTTTTTCTTCGTATTCATGACTTTTAGACAAGTGAATAGAATAAAGCTACTCAACCTTTGTTGATATGGGGATGGAACATTTTTGTTTCATCCGATATATCTATTAATCGCCAAAATACTTGAGAGATTAATGAGATTATTGAAATATTCATTAGCTGCAATGGTTTATCCCAAGCCCTTTCCCCAATCTAGCTCATTATAGAACTTTGTGATTTCCTAAGAATATCGTTGTTCTCATAGGACAATAGAAACACTTATTAATAGTGTGGCATATTTAAGTAATATTACAAGCTAGAGTGCTGTTTTCCGTCTTTTTGTGCCTGTTTATATTTAAACGGCTAGCCCTTCACGCTAACAGTACAGTGTGATCTGATGAAATAAAACAGCCAAAAATTTCTGATGAATACATAATATACATAATGTCAGGTTCCACTGTGTTGTTGCATGCTTCATTAGAGCCAATTTAACATTGGCCCGTATCCTTCAGAATCAACATGTACTCAGAAGGACTAATGGACCTCATGGAAATGATCATGGTTCTGCCCTTCGCTCAAGACCCAAACTCCAAACTGGGCAACATCGAGACCAAAGCAAAGGAGCGCTACCTGCCAGTGTTTGAAAAGGTAGCATCACATAAGGCATAAGAAGTTGGCCTTCTCTAGGCTCGCTGTTTAAAAGAATGGTTGTGTGCAGCAACTGTTGAGCCACATTTACCTGGTGGGAGGTCGGCTGAGTGTTGCGGACGTGCTCCTGATGGAATGCACGCTCATGCTGGAGGAAAAGTTTGTGGGGATCCTTGCAGACTTCCGTAATGTCAAGGTGTGTAAGCGACAAATTAGTCAATCCTAACTAGGCGTGTGTAGACTTTTGAGATCAACTGTAAGTGCAGGTGTGACATTCCTAGTGGTGTCTCCTTGTAGGCTTTTCAGGGCCGCATGTCAAGAAATGAGGCCATCGCCAGATTCCTGCAGCCCGGAAGCAAGAGGAAGCCTCAGCCCGATGACGTTTACATCAAAAGTGTCAAGGAGGTCCTTAACTTAAACATAACATTTCCATAAAATGCTCTAATGGTGTTGAAAGGCAGAGATGAATCTGAATGTATCGCCCATTAAAAAGTTCATTCTCTCTTCAAATATTGCACCATTTATTGATTTCACTATTTAACCAAACAAATCATGCTGCGGTGGTTTGTTCAGTCAAAGTCTCTTGGTCCATTAGGAAATCAATGACGCAGTTTCCTCTGTGATTTATGATTTAATTTATGTATTTATAACATCTATTTAGCTGTTGTTCAAACATCGCTGAAGACAGTCTCCATCTCAGACATTTTCTCGTCGTCCAAAATTTAAATATGAATTCTTGTACTATTCCAATTACATATTGAAGCAGGTCTGCTGAAACTTTTTTTCCCCCCGAGGAATAGGCAATTGATTTTTATAAGGTCCTCTGAGGGCCTTAGTACATCTTTCTATAAAAATCTGGTGCTACAATCAAACAAATGTATATTTTTTCTTTGTTGTGAGCATGTGTCAGTTCTTTTTTTTTTTTTTTTTTTTTTAGCATTGCTGTTTTTTCATGGCGGGCAGGATCAGATGCTCGCCATAGGCTCCCCGGCGGCCCCTCTCTAGATTCTTGCAAAGCATGACGCTGCTTGGAATTCAAGCAAAATGGTCATAAAGTAAAAAATGTTTGATTTGTGTTGTCAAAATCAAACTCGGAATCATGTATCATGTAAAACTGCTCGTCTGTATCCTCTCTTCAATCACACCACCATCTGGAGCAAAAGTCGGAACACCATCAACAAACTGCAGAAAAAAAGCGGCCAACATTACACAACCTCGAAACCAGTGAGACAAGTGTTTACAATGAGTCTTATGGATCACATCAGAGTTTAAAATTCTGACCTTAGAACCGTCATAATTCCAGCTGGCACCAGTTTGCCTGACTTCTTGTACCTGGTCCCCATGACCACCGCAAGGAGCCCAGAGGCGACTGATAGAACACAATTGAGGTAACATTGAACACTTCAATGCCTCATGACTGACACGCATACATTGTGTCTTGTGCCAGCCGAATAACCAGGGCCGGCTTGACTATTACGCAATACAGGCAAAGGTTAAGGTTGCCGTAGCCTTCCTTTAGTGGGCGCACTAAAATTGTGTTGACTTTTCTTTGATGACTTGCTTCTGAATGATTAGCCTCAACATGGTACGATAGTCATTAAATAACCACTTTCATATTTTTGCAACTTCATTCCATGGAGGGGTCTTAACAGTTTTTGGATCATTTGTAGCGATTAACCCGACCGAGTTTACATTGGCCTAGTCCACAGACAAGTGTCTGTACTAGTGTTAAGAGTGTGAGTACATTTTCCACACGATACTTACACAGAGACACCTTGATGTCGGTGGGCTTGTTGGAGATGTTGTAAGCGCCATAAGCAGACAGTCCACTAAAGACCAAGCCGGCCATCAGAGACATGACGCTGCCTTCAAAAGACACACGATAATGATCACGACTTGAACTTTGTTTTTTGCTTTCGCCTGTCAAAGATAACACTGATGGAGATTACTACTCTCAACCTTTTCTCTTGTATCCCATATATCCTCCCAGCAAGATGGCCACAGCATAGCCATATCCAATCCAGTCGATGGCCATTTAAGAGCTGCGACAACAGTTCATATTGATTAGGTTTCATATCAATGTAACATTTAAAACATGAAACACAATCAAACATATTAGGTTGAAACTTGTGGGTATGCATACAGCCTTAGCAGCTTTTTTTAAAAATCCAGTATTTTTTATTTTTCATGCACAGTACATTTATTTTTCAAGTACACTTTAGTTGTACAGTTTCTTTTAAGTAGGAGTACTATAAAATACGTTTGTATTTAATCTTTAAGAACTTTGTTCTGAACAATTTATTAATTGTAATATTCAGGTGCAATGCATTTGGATTTAATGATTGTTTTAAGTTGTTTTTCATTTCCTATATTTAAGCACAGCCTTAGTTTTTATCTGTGCACAATGTTACTGTATCTTACCACTATAAGTGTTTTCAGTAAAAGAGTCATTTGGTTAATTATTTTGGTTTCAAAAAACACCAATGGGCTAAAATAATGTGCAGTGCAAGACCAACACGAAAGCGTAATGAGTAAAAAAGCTTCTTCGCAATCAAGTGAAGCAAATACTAAAATGATATGACTGAGCTGAGGTGCCCGAACAAGGTGACGAAAGTTAAAGTTGAATAAGTGGGTCTTTAAACTATGTCACAAATGGACACAAGCTTTACTTAAAAATTCAAAATAAACTACCATTCCTTGATCAGAGTAACCTTTTTTATGTTAACAGTTTTACCTCGACACTGCAGTCTGTTGCTATTGGGGGCCCCCTCGTGGTCGCAGGGCTCTAAGCAGGTGCTTCGTTCACTTTTAGTTTGGGCCGGCTGTACAGCATTGACATTTACGTGCCACCTTACGGTGTATAGTAGATGGCTGCAGCACTTCAGCAAAAATATATACTGTACTGTACATTTTTGAGCGGTGACATTTTCTCCAGTTGACCGCTAGATGTTGCTATTTATTGAACATTATGACGCGACGCACGCTCACTGTATCAACTATACGGCAACTGTCTTTACAAACCAAATATTAACGACACGAAGGTCCTGTAACGTAATAAGTGCGTTTTCAGGCTTTATAAGCACATACCTTGCGTATAACCGATGTAAAAGTCCAGAAAAAGGATACAATTCGATTACACTTCCTTGTTCATCAGAAAACAGTTGCACGCATGCGCCGTATAGTCAATGCTACATTCAAATACAGCAATAATGTCGAAAATGTGCGTCTTTTCTACAGTTTTACGCAACAAGTTGTTCTAAATGTATACAGTACGGGTATTCAGCCGTCAACTGCTTGAAATTGTTTAAAATTCCCTCCAAATTGTCAAAGACCACAGTTCAAGCTGAATAAAACTAACCCCAAAGCATGATCCTGCCACCACCATTCTTCATCATAGTTTTGATCTATTACGGTAAACATACATTTCAGAATTATGGAGGAAAAGTCCATTAACAAAATCTCCCTCAACACATGTGGAGCTATGTAGACGTTTTACATATTGTAAATACATTTTACTTTCATTTATATATTTTAGATAGATTTCAAAAATCAAAATGCCATTTTCGTTTCACTATTTATTCCATTATTAAAAAATAAAAAAAGCTAATTTAAACTTAACAAATAATTGAGAAGTATAAACCATGTTTTAACAAACCTATTTGGGGGGTGGGGGGGTGCTAAATTAATGCACCGAATTTTATAGGGGTCACTGATGATATAGTGGTTTACTTGGCTGCTTTCAGTGCAGTCAGAGTGAATTCCCACTCAGGGACAATGTGTATAGGAGTCCACACGACCAGTCCAGGGCATCGGCAGTATTCCGCTCAGCTACAGCTAGCCGGGATTGTGAACAGGATAAGCGCTTTACAAAATGGATTATTAGAGGACTCTTAATTAAAAGTGTAATTGCTCAGTGAGTTGGATTAAAGAATGGAGCTGGCCGCAGCCACCCTGCTTTCGGGACAAACATCTTAGCGGAAAATTGAAATCGTGAAAAGGCACATAATATGTAAATGGTTTTAAAGACTAAGGGCTAATTGAATAGCTACTCTTTCCGAAAGGTGTTTGATAATACTGTATCTATATTTGCATTCCTGAAAAGAACAAATAATGGGTTTGGCTCCAGGAGTTTTTCTCACCCAGATATATGAGAGAGTGAGATAGAGAGCGAGCGAGAGATAGCGGGAGACAGAGAGGGGGGGGGGGGTAATTTATCAGTCTGTTTTGCAAACACGGGTAATTTATCAGTCTGTTTTGAAAATATCAAATCAAATGCTGGATGGAGGGGGCGGGGGCTGAAGCTCATAGAGCTACACAGAATTCTGACAGGGCTGAAGCCTCCCTTAGCCCCGGTGTAGCGCCATCCCCGAACCATTCATTTTGTATAACACTGGGCACAGACTGATAGACAACCATTCACACTCAGTCACACCTAAGGAGAATTTAGACTCTAAATTTTAGAGTCTTCAATCAGTGCATGTTTTTAATTGTGTGAGGAAGCCGGAGTACCCAGAGGAAGAACATGCAAACTCCCCACAAGAAGGCTGGAGCTGAGATTCAAAACCTAGAAACTCGGAACTTTGAGGCAGACGTGCTAACCACTTGGATGCTGTGCTGCCCCCAGAATAATTTCAGCATTCCTTTAAACAAATAAACCAAAAAAGCGAATAAAAGACACTAAGAAAGTTAATGGACCATGGTGAGATGGTGCATTTAACAGAGTGTCTTTAGAGAGCAGAAACACAAACTAACTCATCAGTCCAGCCATCTGAGACAGACAATGCAGAAATGGGCAGGAAAAAAGTGACCATCTGGCACTTTTGCATTTCGTTCAAAACCCCAGCACACGCACGTGCGCGCACACACACACAACGTGACTCTTTCCAATGGGAAAACATCTTTATTTCACTCCGACTACATACCCATACCCGCAACACATCAAGTCGGTATTTCGTTAAAACCTGTAAATCATATCGCATTCCCGAGCAAAATAAGCCACTTTGAGTGCAGAGAGTGAGCACACAGGGCCGCTGAACGCCTCTGTGACGTCAAGACTGTAAAGAGGCGCTGAAGTCCTCCAGCTGGGGGAGGTACGAGAACCCGCTCCTCCAAAGAGAAGGCACACGTTTGCGCAGAGTTGGCATTTTTTAAATGCTGTCGACAGAAAACAATTCCTGACAGGATAAAAGTTCTGACAAAATATCTGAAAAAACGTCATATAGGAACCAGGAAGATGACTGAACTGAGTGAAGTACTGCAGCACAGAGTAAAAACCGTCCATATACCTTACCTTAGACTAAAATAGACCTTTGATAAATCCGGGATTGCCAATGTGCAAAGCGAATTGTGGAAAAAGGAGATACAAAAGATGAGAACATAACGAAAACAATTCACAGACAGTGCTTTTCATAATACAAAGATGCGGAAGAGTATAATACAAATGGCTTTTTTTTTTAGTTTGCATGGCTTTGTAAGCTTTTTTTTGCTTTAAGCAAGGTAGATCTTGTCATGTGAGGAGTATCATGGTAACAACACAAACATTAAGAGTTCAAAAGCAATAGAGTCAAAACAAATGGTGCAACATGGCTGGCATTGGTAAAGTATTGCTCAACATAACACGCGAACATTGTGGCAAAGATCACCAAGTTTGGCAATTTGCTTGTTTTTTTTTCTTTTAAAGCTGTTTTACTTTAGTTTATCAAAGGGGAATTCTTTTTTTCTACTGTTGATTTATAAAACCTCTGAGGGTCATTACATGTGTACACACACATTACATGATGCAAGAATCAAACATGATAATTAGTATTAGTATTTTAACAGGTCCTCTGGGGTTTATTTTTTTTTTTTGCAGTTAATTTTTTTATTTTTTTGCATTGCGGGCCAGAACATATGCTCTGGCAGGTTTATTATAGCCCACTGCCCCTAAATTTGGAAGCCCACTTTTTACAATTTATGTAGTGACAAGCATTCATGAGATTGCTTCTCATGCCTTTTCTTGTCATGTTCGTTGTTAAACAACATAATGCATATATTTTCCAAGGGAAACATTCATTTTGAATTAAAGAGATATAATTATCCTTTATATTATAAAAAGTGCCGTAGGTATCGGGCTGATAAAAGCCCTTCTGACTACTGCAAACTAGAAGTATGTTGCATTCATCACACACCAAGTGATTTGAAAGTTCAGTGGAAGCCCCAAAGTAGAATGCCCCAAAATCCCGACATAGAAGGGCGATGACAACCATAGAACATTATAAAAAAATGATTGTGAAACGTCAAAATGATCGGAAAACGTCAATCCACCTAGTCCATTATCAATGCAGCCATTTTGTACAGAACGCACCCTGATTGGAGGTCTGGCTGAGCTGGAGCCGATCCCAGCAAACTTTGGGCGAGAGGAAGCAAAGTGCACACTGTAAACTGGTTGTCTGTCTACAACATGGCAAATGTAGATAAACAATCAGTCAGCCTCGTTCTCACCTGAAGAAAATTAAGCATTTTCAATCAAGCTAACAAGCATGTTTATGGAAAGCATGATGAGGAAGCCAAAGTACCTGGAGGAAACAATTTCAACTTCACAAATTAATTAATTTGACAGAGAAGATTACATAACCACGTACTACACAGCTGTCTATTCCCTTTCCATTTTTTTCAAAGCATGCATTTCAATTTTTATTTTTCAAAACTTTTATCGGGTGTTTAAGTCTCTATTTGTATGACAATTAAGGAGGGTATAATGTTAGTGAAAACACTGTCATACGGCATGGGTTCTCGAGGTTTGATGATGGGGACTGTCTTGAAGCAATGAATTCCCGTCACATTATTTCCGACTTGAGGAGGAATTGTTGAGAACAACTTTTAAGTCAGTCGCATCACAGAACAGAATAGAGGTTCCAAAATGAACAACCTTAGTGCAAATTCGGAATGTGGCACTTTGCATACAGACTATCGAAACCGTCCATCCATCCATCCATTTTCCAAACCGCTTTATCCTTACAAGGGTCGCGGGGGGTGTTGGAGCCTATCCCAGCCGTCTTCGGGAAGTAGGCGGGGGACACCCTGAACCGGTTGCCGATCGCAGGGCACACAGAGAAAAACAACCAGCCGCGCTCACACTCACACCTCGGGACAATTTGGAGTGTTCAATAAGCCTGTCATGCATGTTTTTGGAACGTGGGAGGAAACCGGAGTACCCGGAGAAAACCCACGCAGGCCCGGGGAGAACATGCAAACTCCACACAGCAAGGCCGGAGCCTAACTCATGAAATACATGAATGCTGTCCCTCTGAAGAATGACTTCGGTTTGAGTATCCAAGATAAATGTCATGGGTAGAGATTGGCCAACCTCTGCTGGAGCAATGAGGAGCATGCGAGGACACGTTTGCATGATGTGAGCGATTTGGGAGCGGAGGTAGGGGGGAGCGGTGGGTAGTGGGTGAGGTTAATTGTTATTTTTAGCTCGAATGAGGAATTTCATGTAGTTTCTTTTGAACAAATCCACTGTTGTTTCCCCAAAGCCTGATCGTTCCGGGAAACAAGTCGCAGCACAAGACGAATAATTCTTTGCATGGGTTTAGCACAGTGAGTCACGTGTGGTGCGAGCGTGTGCGCCGGCGGCGTGTTTGTACTTTACGTACCGCAGTATTCTGCTTCTGCAACACAACCTGCGTGGTAATACTGAAACATGGCACCGCTTTTGCGCATCTTATGGCCGTGCGTTAAGGAAGCAAATTGACCCACAGCCAACCTAGAAGAGTCCCGTACACCCAGGTTCTCCAGTACACCTTCCTGCCGGTGTCAGTCAGCAGCAGAGGCAGCGTCAGACCCCCCAAGACGAGCACGGCCGGGAGGGTTTTGGAGAGTCCCAAGGGGGAACGTCTGCCTTCCCCGGGGAAGCTGCATAGTTTGACTCCGTTGCCACGCTTGTAGAAATCAGCCAGCAGCCTTTGAAAAGAGAGACACATTTCTAAGGAATTCTTCTATGTGCACAAATGCTGCTGCAATTTAACACTTCAAATTGCCTTCTAATCATTATATTGACCCAGCCCCATTTGCACATCTTGTAATTGTGATGCATGCATTATTCACGAGGGAATCTAGGAAACGGATGATAAAACTTACGGGAGGCACCAATCTACCTGACCTGCATAAATGATTGAATAGCTTGTTACTATGCAACAAACTCTTCACTGGGTAACATGTTGCCTCTTAGTTGGTGTTTTATATATACAGTGTGTGTGTGTGTGTGTGTGTGTGTGTGTGTGTGTGTGTGTGTGTATATACACACACACACACACA